AACCTTCTGGTTTTGTAGGGCTTTACAAAATCCAAAACACATCCGCCCAACATTATTCATTTGTGCTCCCAGCAACTCTTGGAGGCAGACAATTAGAGAGAGAGAATAGGTTCAGAGAGGTGAAGTGAAAATTTCAGTAGTAGAAGTGGTATCAGAGTAGAAGAAGGCTGGGTCATCGGCTTCCCGTCCCTCACCTGGGGCTCATTTTGTGGTTTCTTTGTCTCCTTCTTCAATAATGTTCTGATGAGCATTGAGTCAGTCAGGGCTCAACTGTTGCACCTGCCCCAAACATCAGAACAAGAGCATTTAGATCAGCAGCGAAGGCAATAATGACACATTCCTCTAAGAGATTTTTTCCTTCTCCGTAGCCTATGATCTTGAGCCACATGCATGCCAGAAATGCATAAAGAATTATGCCAGGCTAACAGCAATACTCGAAATATAACTTTGCTTCTGAGGAACTTGAAGTACTTTATCACCATGATATTTTATTTTTTCCCATTCAAATGTTTGGATTATCAGAACTACCTACAGATAGCTTTCTCATCGACATGTGACCATGGGCATCCTGTAGACTGGTTAGGAGCAGTGTGACACTGGCTTCTTTTGTACACAGGTTGTGTTATGAGTATGTGCGGGGCACTCCTCGGTGTCAGGAAAGTTCTGGCTTCCCTAATCGTTCAGACTGAATTCATTTCAAACACACATTTTTGGCCCCATCTGACCTGCCATGTTCTTTGCCATGTGCAGATCCAGGAAGGGCTGCATAGTCTGGTCATCATGTCACTGTTTCCTGGTCTAATCCCAAACTTCCTTTGGCTGGGGACAGTAACCACACAGCTGGCAGGCAGGATGAGGGAACGGTTTGGGGGAGCCTGATATCTCTCAGTTCCATATGTACTTTTTGGCCACAGTGTAAATTGAACATGTTTCTTCCCTCTCCTTGTCCCATGGGGTATGCACTATTTTTCAAAATCCACTTAGAATAGCAAAAGCAGGTCACTTGACTTGCCTACATTGGGCTCTGATTTCTGCATCTTGACTGTTAGTTCAGCTATGTGTTGATCCTGAAACGCTCCTCGTAGCATTCTTCTATGCATCAAGAAGGGGCCCACAGTGATTGCAGACCTCTCCCTTGTCCCCAGTTCCCCTGTCACTCCCCATCCCTACTCTCAGTGGATGATTTGGCTTCCTATTTTACCAAGATCCATATGTCTATCTTAAGGTCTCATACTTTATCTTTACTCATATTGCCACTGCCAATACTGCTGTCGCTAATTTTTCCACCATAATTTTAGTGAAATAGGTTTCTTTCTTCAGGAACACTAACCTCTCCATGCATATCTCAGATGCCAATCCTTTTTCCCAGTCAGAGTCATTCCTTCCCCTCCACCTCAAAAATCTCTGAATACCTCAGGCCCCATACTTCCCCCTCCACTTCCTCAATCTCTGAGCTTAATTGGCTGTAGTCCCCTCTAAGGAAGAGAGTCCCTCAAGTCTAGATATTCTCTCTTTCCCTGCCTAGTGTGGCACTACATCTTTCTAGATCTTCTCCCATTTCTCTGACTATTCTTTTTCTATTCCCTCTATTGATCACAGCCTCAGCTCTTCACTCTTTCCACACTGTTCTCACTCGTTCACCCATCATAGATCTCACTATGATGATCACTATGATATGCTCTCACTTGTTCATTCACTCATAGAGGATCTGACATCTGCCTGGTGATAATCTAGGCATAGGATGACAGCAGCGAACAGAATGAATAAGGCTGCTTTCATGAAGCTTACATCCTGATAGGAGGAAATAGAAAATAAGCAAGACATAAATTTAAAATAAGATAATTTTAGATAGTGAGAGAAGATACGAAGAACAAGAAACAGGGTAATGAGCTAGCAAGTAGCTCCAGGTGGGGGAACTGAGCAGGAAACCACTTTCCTGGGCATGACCACTTTCTAAAGTGCCACTCTAAGGAGAAGTCATTTGAGGCAAGACGGGAATAATAAGAAACCAGCCATAAGATGAAAAGCATTCTGGGCAGAGGGAACATTTTGTGCAAAGGCTCTAGAATGGGAAAAAGCCTAGTAAGTTTGAGGTATATTTTAAAAAATCAAGTGTAACTGGGATATTGTGGACAAGACAGGGAATGGTGGATGAGAGTGTGAAGAGATAGCTGGGGCTTGGGGCAGGCCTTGTTAGGCCATGGTGAGGAGCTTAGATTTTATTTAACTGCAATGAGATGCCATTGAGGGGCTTTAAGCAAGAAAGATGCATGATCTTATAGAATATAGAGTGCTCTGACTACTGTTTTTAGCCTAGAATGGATGGTTTCACCCATCAACTGTAAAGGGAAGATGATCATCAAATTGGAAAAGGTTAAAAAAAAAAAAAAAACACAGAAAAGGGTTGAAGCCAAAATGGCAGAAAGCAGGGAGGGATAACAAACAATTTAAATGAGTTTAAAATTCTCAGAACAAGGCCAAATGTACTTTACGGAACTTAAGGTACTTGCAAAAGTAATGAGGGCCACTGCCAAAAATCAAGAGAAATGTCAGAAGACTGAAAAGACCAAACCCTTCTGTTTTCAATAGAGGAGAGACAGAGGAAGTGGCTCCTGCAAACTAGAGGCAAGAACATCGTCCCTAAAATCTCATGGACAATCCTCAAAGTGAATATTTAAAATGGGATTGATAAACATCTAGAAAAGAACACTGTGATTATTAGGAATTAGCACACATAGACGTAAAAAAAATTATGTAAAATTAAGCCAGTTCCCGCTGTGGTAGTGGTGGGGTTTGAGTGGGGTAGTTGATAGAGTTATCAGACTGAAAAGATTTTTTTTTGTACAACATCTCAGTAATTCTTCAGATAACAACTGCTTGAACTTAACAAAAGGTAATTCACCCCACTTTGGAATGGTTTGAAATATGTTGCTGAAAATCTGTTTCTATGTAAATGTAAGCCACTGATCTTACTTCTTTTCTCTGGATTGTTATAAATCTAATTCCTCTCACATATACCCTTTGTTTTAAATTTGCAGAATGTGTCATGCTATAAATATGGAAAACAGGAAGATACGTTTTGGCATTTATTTGTGATTGAGCAACCACACCAAGGAAGTCTAATTAGCGGTTCATTGTCAAGGTAGACCGAGGTCTCTAAAACCGTGCCAAAGGACTCTTCTTTGTTTTTTTCCTATCCATTTTTTTAAAAATCTATGTTTGGCCCAAGTCATGACGAGCTTAGAGATGAAACAAAGCAAAAGAGGAGAGATATGTTGAATGATTGAATCTAGATTCAATAAAAATATTAACAAGATATGGTAAATTTGTTGAAACAAATAAATTTTTAACAGCAATAAGTGCAGAGTTTCATAAAAATTTTTCCAAAATTCCCTATATATGTACAAAATGACTCTGCAATAGGTCAAGTAAAAAATGCTTGAAGATTTTAACTGACTATAAGCTTATTATGAGTGAGATATGGCTGTAAATGCATTTGAATAGACACACCCTCCAAAGCAAATGTGGCCGTAATTCCCCTGGATTTACGCTGGGCCCACCACACAGAGAACATCAGTTCCTGTTCCGGATTTCACTTTCAGAATCATGCTGAGAAACTAAAAATCCTCCTGAGAAAGTGAGTAGGGCGGTTAAGGGTTGGAAACTACTAGGAAATACGCTGAAAGAAACTTAGGAAGCTTAGCCTCAAACAAAAAAGTCTTAGGGGTGGGGGGGAAGCATAGCTCTTTTAAGGAAAGCAGATTGAGGAGCACTGAACGGAGTTTGGGGAGGGAAGAGGAGTGTGCAGAACTCGAGTATAAAGCACTTCCTTAAACAACAGAAGGAATTGACTTGTGAAGTAGTAAGCTCTCATCTTTGACGAAGGTCAAGCCTGTTCATAGGAATGTTCTTGGGGGATTTATGAATTGGAAAGGAGGTTGAATTAAGTCCATTTTAACTTCTCATCCAAATCTAATACACTATGCTTCAAGGGCTGGTCTTCAAAACGACACAGAGCTTATGGCCTGGCGGCTCCCTGCCCGGGAAGAGGATCCTGTCTGGGGGACATTCTGTTGCTCTGTGATACGTTAGGAGGGAGAATTTCCTGCATACGGTTCACTTACAGTCAGCTGCTACTCTGCCAGTTCTTTTTTGGAATATCAGTGTCAAACTTCCCCTTTTGGAAAGAGCACAAGGGGATGAGAAGACGAGGGGAGAGAGGTTCTGGTATTAATCTTTCACTTCAGTTCCAGGCATTCCTAATCTGTTATGTCAATTTGAGTTTATAACTGGATTTAAAGGTTCAGGTTTCCCTTCCAGAGATGGGGGTGGGGGCACCGAAACAGCTGCTAGGACTAGGGAGTGGCTGATAGCTGGAAGAAGCCAAACCACAATCTATCAGCTTTAAACTTAAAAAAAAAAAAAAGTGACCAGAGCAAGAGGGAGTTCCCCCACCCTCTACATCATTTGCGCTGACCTTTGGATCACCTCACTGAGTGAGGAGGTGAAGACGGAACAGGTGCGCCTCACCGCTACGGCGCTTCTCCTAAACAGGGATTGTCTTGCTGCGTTCAGTGTGCCTGGGACAAATTAATCAAGGCTAGACAAAGGATAGACTGGGAGGACAGGAGGGTATAGGGTTGGGGGAGAGAAGCCGGGAGCCATGTACATTGTACATTGCAGATTACATCATTGCCTGAAAGACATTTGGCCCTCCCCTTCCCGGAGCTGGAAGCGAGCTTGTCTGTGCGGGAGCAGGAGTGGGGTTGTCTGGAGAGTGTGAATTGGTGGGAGGTGTGACCGTGCTGGTGAGAGAGGTGGAGATGTGAAAGGGAGACCTGGAGACAGGCAGCGAACAGAGAAATCGCGGGGGCTGGAGGTGTTTGCGCGGTTGCGAGCTCCGCCCCCTGCTCAGCGCCTTGTAGGGCCCTGGGAGGGGCACGCCTGTTTGGAGGTGGGGAGTGTGTGCACGGGGGGGGTGGGTCCGTGGTGGCGGTGGGGGTGGAGAGCCGCCTGCGCATGTCAAGGCTGACTGAGCATACACGGTCAGGGGGCCCTGGAGAAGGGCAGCCAGTCGCCCGCCACCCAGGGTCCGGGCCCCGGCACGATCCGGGGGCGAGCTCCAGGGAAGGACCTACCCTCCCTACCGCACTCCACCCCCCACCTCTGAGACTATCGGGCAAACAGAAGCTTCTGCCTCCTCCTCGGTCCCTCTGGACCTCTCCGGGGAGCCGAGGGCGGGTGTGGACGGCACCAGGGTGGAACGAATTTTGTAGCTCAGACGGGCGGCCCCGCTGGCTTCGGGAGTGGGGACACGCCCAGCTGGAGAAGCTGGTCACGGCGGATGAAGCCAGAGCTCTCGGGTCTTGGTGGATCCTGGTCGGAGCGTAGCTGTTCCTAGGGGAGGTGAGGGGTGGATCAGCATGGAACCTTTCGACAGCCCTGCAGCCTAGAGCCAGCCGTGCTGCTCACTTCCGAGCTGAGCTTTCTCCGAGGCGCAAACAGGAGAACCAGCTGTGCAACTGGAATTTGAAGTTCCGGGGTGGGCGGGGAAGGTACTGTCCGTGGTGCTGAGCCGGATCCCAGCAACCGGCTCCGGGGAGAGCGCGAAGCCGCTGATCCGCTCCCTCGAATTGGGGCGGTCGGCTAGGGTAGCTTGAAGCTGAAACCCTCGCCCAGCTCAAAAAGCCTGCAGAGCCTCCCCAGTCACCGGCGCTTGGCCCTTATTTCAGTCAGAAAATCGCCCCCTTGGGGCAGTTCGTCCCAAAGGGTTTCCTCGAAAGTGCCTGAGAGGGCGCAGTTCTTGACCGAGGGAATCTCTCTGTTTAGCCGTGGAAGCCACCCGCTGAAAAAGATGCCTGCCTTCAACAGATTGTTTCCCCTGGCTTCCCTCGTGCTCATCTTCTGGGGTAAGTACCAGCACCCTGCCATGAGAGATGCAGATAACAGTAATAATGCTAACAATGATAACACTTATTGATGTCGTTGATAACAAAAAGGAGCCCTGGTTGGCTGCCCTCTGTGCATGTCTGCCAGACATGGAGATCCATAAGGGGTTCCATGGGAGCTGGGATTTTAAGATTGGAAAAACAGCTCCGCACTCTCCTGCTGCTTTATTCTTGAACCTCCACTGGTGGTTTTTCCACCCTTCCTCCCATTTCCTATTAATTCCAAAGTATTTTTTTTTTCCATTTCCCTTTGCTGAAAGGGAATGCAGTCACATTGGTTATAAAAAATCTCGGTTGCAGTTACATTTCATTTCTCAGTGAGGAGTCAGTGGGTCTTCAAATTAATTTCTATATATTACAAAAAAGCCGGATGCATGCATTTTGACAGTGAAAATACTTTAATTGTTGACCCATCTGTTTATTTTGGTACGGAAAACAGGTTTCAGCCATTTGTACCTAGGTATTAGACAAACAGGCACCTGGGAAGTGCATCTTTCTTCTTTTTTGCGAACATGTAGAGCTAAGGCGTTTTGGTGTTTGGGGAGCTGGATTTTTTGCTTTCAAAGATGAACAGGTTCTTGCTTGTCTGCTGTGAGGGAATGAGGTGACCTTTTCTCTCCAAATAAGAGAGTCCTGCACTTGCAACAGTAAGGCTAAGCAGAGCTGTGCCAGAGATGGGCTTGGAGTGGGGTGCCTGCAAGTGTGTAGAGCAAGTCAATGAGTTTACATGATAACACCGAATATATGATTGAGAGAATGCTTTACTGTGTCAATGTATGCTTCAGTGTTTGAATGTGTGCTAGTGTATGTCTGAGCATGTTAGTATGGGCATCTGAATGGATTGGCAAGGATGTAGTTGTGTGTGTGTGTGTGTGTGTGTATGGTTGTTGTGTAATTCTGGGCATCTCTGCCTTGGTAACTCTGATTAGATCCTCAGGTGAAATATAGGCACTCTTCAGCTGATATATTGCTTTACATGATCTCAGCAACCTTCCTCCATGCTAAAAATCAATAACCAGGATAATTAGATGTGATTGTGCCCACTTTCCCTGTTAAAACTAGGCATGTGGGATAATGCTCCCATGATTACTTGAAACCCATTCTGCCTGTGCAGTTGTGGACATGCTGATGGGAATTGCCTCTTTGCCTTAGTATCACTTTATTAAGCCTCCAGGACTAACTCTGGCAGCCAGCATTATCTGGGTTTTGCATGTGACTAGAAGCAAAGCCAAGCTTCCTGTTGAACAAAATGCCGGGACATGGGCCAGGAAGGACAAAGAGAGAGAGTAATGCCAGTCCCAAGGACAGACTCCCCACCATCCATTCCCAGTAGAGTAGACCAGACCTGAAGATGAAGCCGACATTGTAGGTTGTCAATGATGTCACCTGCCTTGAAAATTTAACGCTGGGATTTCCTCAGGGGAGGCTAAGACTAGGGACATGAGGCTTCGGAGAGATTAGTCTGGCTGGATAAGAAAGAGTTGGGGTAAAGCAATGGGAGACAAAGTTGTGGAGGAAGGTTGGGGTGAGATTCTACAGAGCCTTTCTCCCCAAACCCTAATTTAAGTTTTCAGCATCTCTGCCTGAATCCCAGTGGAGGGGGAGAGCATGCTATACTCCAAGGACCTTTTGACTAGGACTTACAAAACCTGGATTGGAGTCTTAGCTCTGCCAATAGCTTACTATGTAACAACCTTACAGTACCTGGTTCCTCATATCCAAAGTTTGGAAGTTGGGCCAGATGACCTGTAACATCCTTTTCAGCTCCACAACTGAAGAATAGGGAAATATTTACAGAATATTGCTAAAATTGGCAGAGTGTCCATTCTACCCCTTCCCCAAAAAACCTTTGGAAGAAGTCTGTACATTACCCCTATCTTTCCTCATTCTCAGCTTCTCTGTAACCTGAACATTGGTTCACCAAACTGAGAAGCTGCAGAGGGAAGGAGAGACGGTTCAGGAAGCCTGGCCATTAAATGTAAGATAAAGGGCCTCACTTCACAAATATAATTTCATTTTATTTGCATGTAATTCTAGTATTGGAAAGCACTTAGCTCTCCAATACTAGCTTTCTCCCTTCCCAAGCTGATTTTTCACATGATACAAATATGAATGGAAAGAACATATTCCATTCTTCTATGTTTTTTAATTTATTTACTGTTTTTGAGGAAGATTAGCCCTGAGCTAACATCTGCCACCAATCCTCCTCTTTTTGCTGAGGAAGACTGGCCCTAAGCTGACATTATGCCCATCTTCCTCTACTTTATATGTGGGACGCCTACCACAGCATGGCTTGCCAAGCAGTGCCACGTCTGCACGGGGATGCAAACCAGCAAACCCCGGGGCGCCAAAGCAGAATGTGCACACTGAACTGCTGCGCCACTGGGCTGGCCCCATTCTTTTATTTTCTACGTGTATTGAAAAAACTTCCATTATTCCCTTTAACAAAGTGTATGATAAGAATAATAATAAAAACCTTACTCATGCCTGGTGCTTTACAGTTTACAAAGCAATTTTCAATCCATTACTTCTTCTGGTCCCCATATCAATCCTGTGGGAGTTGCCAGGGGAAGAAGTATTATTTCCAATTTAGAGAATGAGGAAATGAGCTCAGGGAGGGGAAAGGACTTGCTACAGGACTCTTGTCTCCTGATTTCAGCCTTCCAGTGCTGATTCCAGCACGTCTGATGGACACATGTACTGCTATGCAGGATTGCCTGATGGGCATCAGTCCGCTTATCCCTCTCCTGAGCCACCCTCCCACCCCTCCCCCATGCCATTACCTTTCCTGGGCCTCACTCATCTTTCAGCTCTTAGTGTCTTCTCTGTAATTCCTCTCCAGCTCTACTCTCCCAGATGTCTGCTGTGTTGGGGAATGTTTCCCTCTCTTCTCCGACTCGCCCATCTTGCATCCCATTCTTTTAAGGCTCTGCTAAGTGACTGTCTAATCTCATAGACTAAGTCATTTCAGCGTTTTAATATTTGAAAATAACTTCATTTATAGCCCCCTTTTGGAAAGTTTCTACAGTCTAGTCAAAGCCTTTATTATGTTAACACAAAAGAAAGCATTCTAGAGCAAGCTTAGGAGGGGCAATATAGCAATGCCCAAAGAAGAAAAAGATTTGGGGTATTAGAGGAGTTGGTTCAATACACATTACTATCCACCTCATAATAGATTGATGCTATACCTTAGTTAAATATAATCATCGTTAATACCTCATATTCTTCATTCTCATAAGTTTCTTCATTATTACTATGGACATTGAAGAGGAGACCAAAGGTCAAATGATTTGGCCGAAATTATTCCAGGAGTTTATTATTTACAGTCAGCAATGTGGGTTGAATACCTACCATATGTGCAACCTTTTCTTGGATATCTAGAGAATTTCCTAGAAAGAGAGGCAGTGGTATACTGGAGATTCTTAGGGCAGAGAAATAGACTTCACTTCTTGATGGAAGGAGCAGCAAGTCATATTGCAAAGGACAAGTAAACAGAGACGAGAGGATTTTGTGGCCATTTTGCAGTGTACTATCCAGAACCTCATAAGCAGAGTTCTTATGCCTTGAAACTGGACTTTGGCCGGGAGAAGGGAATCCGTGGGACTTGCTCTCTGATGATATCTTGGATTATTATCATCTCAGGTGCAACTCAGGAAAAAGAGAGGCTGCCATGCCATATTCACCATCCTGACTGCATACATTCTGTGCCCCCTCCTTTAACTATAAATGAACGAACCGTGTCCTATATCAAGACTAACTCACCTACTTGTTCACTAGATCACACCACCTCTTACCTCTTCAAGGATGTTAGTCCAGCAAATGATTCCTTTTCAAACCCCAACAGCTCACTACCACCTTCATCCAAGCAAAACCAATGAACCATCTCTCAGTCTGATCACTGTACCAACCTCTTAACTGTCCTCTTTGCTTCCACCCCTGTCTTTCCTCACCTCTTCAGTTCATTCTCAACATGGCAGTCAGATCATGTAATTTTGTATAAATCATATCATTCTTCCATTCAGAACACTCCAGTGCTCCCCAAGTCACTCCAAGCAAACGCCAGAGTTCTAATCATGGCTTACAAGACTAGCCATGATCTGGTCCTAGCTTCTCTCTCCTACCTTGTCTCCTTCTATTCTTGCTTTGTTCCCTATACTTTATTATGTTCTTTGCTTTCAACAAACACACTGTCACCCTTGGACCCTTGAGTTGCATTTCCTCTGTTCAGCACATCTTCACACAGTTATTCATAAATTTTCTCCCTCATTTCTTTCCTTGAGTGCCTGCTTGATGTCGTCTTCTCAGTGAGGCTTTCTCCAATCATCCTATGCACTCTCTATCTCCTCTATACTCTGTTTTGTTTTTTTCTCATAGCACTTATGACAATTTAGTGTTGCTTATCTTCTCCTCCCTCCACTGGAATGTAGACTCCATCAGAGCTACAGAATGTATGGTTTCTGTTTTGTTCCCTGTTGTATTCTTAATGTCTAGAACAGTGCCTGGCATACAGTAAGCACTCAATGTATTTGTTGAATAAATGAATAAATAAATTAAGGATAAAAATAACATTACCAAAGTGATATTTATACAAAGTATGTTCATATAAATTATTCCATAGGATTCTCATGACAAATCTATTAGATATTATTTTCAGCATTTTGTTGATGAATAAACTGAATCTCAGAGAGGTTAAATAGTAGGTCTTCAGCTGCCAAATACCGTCTTCATCCTGCCTCTATAACTGTAACTGTACATTCTTTGGTACATCTTACTATTCTGCTTTTGAAGTCATCATTATTGAACTAACTTATCTTTATCGTGTGTCATTAAATATGAATGTGCCACAAGGCTCTCTGCTACACAGAGTTTTCAATGCACACTCGCTACACCTTTATCCACTCCAAACTTTTGTACAGACCATGTCTTCTTCTTCTTCCTCTTTTTTTTTCACCAGACCTATAATCAAGACTTCAAACTCACCCCTGCTGATCAGTTCTCCCTAGTTGTGGACTCTCTCTCCATTAAAGTGATGGTCCATATGCAGAAGCAGGAGACCCTCTTGCAAACTGCGCAATAAGACAGCCCCAGGTTGCCTGAGAGTTTTAAAGCCAATTAAATTTATTTTACCTTGATATTTTAAACTTTATCATTGTGCCACTAGTTTTTAAACTCTGTGTTTAAAAATAAAATTTGTTGGGCCAGCCCCATGGCGCAGCAGTTAAGTGCACGAGTTCCACTTTGGTGGCCCGGGGTTCACCGGTTTGGATCCCAGGTGCGGACATGGCACTGCTTGGCAAGCCATACTGTGGTAGGAGTCCCACATATAAAGTAGAGGAAGATGGGCATGGATGTTAGCTCAGGGCCAGTCTTCCTCAGCAAAAAGAGGAGGATTGGCGGCAGATGTTAGTTCAAGGCTAATCTTCCTCAAAAATAAATAAATAAATAAATAAACAAATAAATAAATAAATAGATAAATAAAAATAAAATAAAATTTGTTGCCTTCTCAGTCAGTCAAATACAATATTTCTTTTGACTCAAAATTAGTCAGTCTCATTTTAAGCTCTAAATTAAGCTTTTCTCTGCTTTTAGAAAGAATTTTCTGCCAGTAGATAAACAGACTGACCATTTACATTGGACTAGTTTTTATTTTTTAATTTTTTTGGTGAGGAAGACTGACACAGATGTTAGCTCAGTGACAATCTTCCTCCAGCAAAAAAAGCAAGATTGGCCATGAGCTAATATCTGTTGCCAGTCTTCTCCTATTTTGTATGTGGGATGCTGCCACAGCAGGGCTTGATGAGTGGTTTGTAGGTCTGCACCCCAGATCTGAACCCATGAAACCCAGGCTGCCAAAGAGGAGTACGCGAACTTAACCAGTGGGCCAGCCCCTGGACTAGTTTTTAAATGGCAATGTGTATTTTTCCTTTTTTAGGGGTTCTCTTTTTATTATTAACTCATGAGAAGGTAGCATCAGAAGTGGCCTTAGAAGTCCTAGTTCAAGAATCCTTAGCGGTCATCTCGCTTTTGAATCTTTCAGACAATGAGGTGTAAACTCTCTTACCAAATAGTGTTTTGCATTTGTGAATAATGAGCACCAGAAAATTCTTTTACTTTTTTTTTTAATTCAACTAAACTTACTTTCTTGTAACTTTTGGAGTTAGAATCTATTTTCTCTTTCACAGGGCAGCCTTCAAATATTTGAAAACAGATAAGCTCTGTTTCCAAGCTAGACACCCCTAGTCCTCCTGTTTGTTCCTCACCACACCAGTCCCCATCTTGTCCCCCTCTGGGCATGTGCTCATTGCACAACTTCCTTTTGTAAAATGTGACACCCTGAACTGATCATAATAGTCCAGATTTGTTCTGAACAGTGCAGAGGAACTGTTCCTCCTTCGTTCTGCACATTGTACATCTGTTAATACAGCCCACATTTGCTCTTGCTTTGCTGGCAGCTATGTCTCACTTTTGGCTCGCTCAGAATTTGCAGTTTGATATATTTGCCTTTTTAATGGGCCATAAGTTTCTAGAGGGCAGGAATTATAAATGCAGACCTCCGTGTGGCATGCAAGGTGTCCCGCAGTCTGCTGTCTCTCCAGATTTTAACTTTGCCTCTCTCTACTCCTCTGCACAAGGCATTGCTCCAGCCCAGTGGTCATCTCACTGCTGCTCTGTCCTCCACTGTGCATCAAAACTACGTACATTTTTCGTAAAATACAGATAGAACAACTCTCCCTGGCTTTAAAACATTTGACCCCTCGTATTGTGAAGGACATACAGAGCTTGTCACAACCTGGGTCCTATCTACATTCCTAGCCTCCAGTCTCACATCCTTCTCTTCGTCTTTTCCCAGCCCAACCAGGAATAATTGCCCCTCCTCTGGGAACAGAGGTCACTCGCCATGGTCTGGTTTGATGATACTAAAGAGGATGTGTTCTCTGCTAGACAATAAATGCCTTTAGGGTGTGGTTAGTGTTTTGTTCATCTTTGTGTCTCAGCCTAGCATCAGGCCTGGCATACAGTAGACTTCAGTGGATGTTGGTTGAATGAAGGGGCACATGGATGGTTAGTGGACGGAGGCATGTGTGCCCTGTCTCCCACCTAGACTCTAAGTCTTCGAGGTCAGGGCTGCACCACATCCCCACTGCTTTCCCGGGGCTTTCAGTCAATTCTGGGCCATCCAGGCCTCCTCTACCCCACTCCCTCCCTGTTCTGAGCATGGATACTCAGGGCACAAGCGTGAAGGTATACACACATGTACATGCTATTTTCAAGTTTGTCTCATGATTCTTCCTTCTTTGTCTCTTCTCCCTTCTTCCTTGTTCTCCAATGCCTCTTTCCTGGTGTCCTCCTCCCCAATACCTCCTGTTCCCTCCCTGTCATCCGACCTCTCTCCAGCCCATGTCTGCTTCCCCGTGTGTGTCGAAGTGCCCTCGGAGACGGAGGCCGTTCAGGGCAACCCCATGAAGCTGCGCTGCATCTCCTGCATGAAGAGGGAGGAGGTGGAGGCCACCACGGTGGTGGAATGGTTCTACAGGCCTGAGGGCGGTAAAGATTTCCTTGTATGTCTGACTGCTGACTCTGGCCTTTCTTTTGCTGGCCTCTGCTGTTTTGTGCCTGGCTCCCCAGAGTCTGGGGAATGGTGATCTGACAAACACTGGCTCTTTCTCTTCAAAGCACTGACAGCTCCTCAGCAGACAACTGACAGCCTTAGTTTAGCCCAGCCTCTGTGAAAGGAAGGGCGCCTGGCCAGCTACCAGCATTCCTGGTTATAAGCAGAGGAAGGTGGAGAAAGATAAATAGTATTTGGAGCCTAGTGTGTGCCAGTTACCCAACCAGGCACTTAGCAGGTGTTTTCATTTCATCTTCCATACCATCCTCTTGGGTGGATTAAATTAGTGAAAATGGAAATAACGCTAAGCATCATTATATGAGATAACACAGATTAGCTTATTCAACTCTCACAATCCCAGTGAAATAAGAATGACAGGGATGACCACGGCTGATATTCAACTGGTACATGCAGGACAGCCACATCAGTGGGTAAAATTTTAAATATTCTATAGTGGACACTTGCTGTGCCAGGCCTCCCAAGTGGCCCCACCACCATCCTTCCCACCAGGAGCCCCCAGACTTCCCATGATCTTGGAACTAAAGGATCAGCCCTGACAGAGCAGGGAGCCTCCAAGACTCTGCCCCTGTGCTGTGCAATGTCAGTTCTGATTGGTTGGTGTTGGTACTGAAATGGTCATTACATACTTAGAATACCACCTTGGGGATGACCATTATTCACACCTTCTCTGTCTCTGGAGCCAGGCTGCCTGGGTTTGATTCTTTTCCTTTTTTGAGTAAGATTAGCGCTGAGCTAAAATCTGCTGCCAATCCTCCTCTTTTTTGCTGAGGGAGACTGGCCCTGAGCTAACATCCATGCCCATCTTCCTCTATTTATATGTGGGACCCCTACCACAGCATGGCTTGCCAAGTGGTGCCATGTCTGCACCTGGGATCTGAACCAGCCAACCCGAGGCCACCGAAGCGGAATGTATGCACCTCACTGCTGTGCCACCGAGCCAGCTCCAAGGGTTTGATTCTTGACTCCACTACTTACTAGCTATGTGTCTTGGACAAATTACTTAACCACTCTGTGCCTCAGTTCCCTCATCTCTAAAATGGGAATATAAACCATAGCTACCTCATAAAGTTGTTACCACGACTCATAAGCATTAATATTTAATGCATTTAGTAGTCTAGTTCTGGAATATAGGAAGCTCTATATAAATAAGTGTTGCTAGAGAAAAGATAAATATACATAAAGGAGGAAACTGAGGCTCAAAGAGTTACGTTAGTAAGAGAGCTTGGCTTGAATCAGGTGGTCTGACAGCAGATACAAAGCCCTTTGTACTGTACCACTTTGCCTTCCTGGAGGCAAGTTTCTCCTCCAAGACTTTAATGGAGACGACAGCAGTGTGAAATTGAGTTTTGCTTGCTCTTCTGTCTAGCTTTCCTAAAACTGAACTCATTTCCAACTCTAAGCTGTATGGGCCATTCTGATGTAGGTTTGCCCCAATCAGCTGCCAGAACTGGAACCAGTAGACCTCCAGCGCCTGGCTCAGGGCCGACCATGACTGAGGCTAGTCCCCAGGTTTCAGGAACCTGGATGTCTTGGCCAGATGTGAAAGCCCCGTGGGCCTCAGGCCTGGTCTTGTTGTCAGCTGCCTACTCTGCTCCCAGGCCTGCCCAAAGTGAGGAGAAGGTGGCTCAGAGGAAGGAGGAGAAACTTATGAAATTGTGGTGGAAATACAGAGCAATGCCAATGAAAACACTTGTGAAGATGGAAATGTTCCATATTTGTGCTGTCCAATACAGTAGCCACTAGCCACATGTGGCTGTTGAACACTTGAAATGTGGCTAGTGCAACTGAGGAGCTGAATGTTACATTTTATTTAATTTCTAGTAATTTAAATTTTAACATAAGTAGCCACACGTGGCAGGTGGAGACAAGCATGGATAGCACAACTGTAGAGGAAAAAAAGGTGTGTCAGAAGGCAGAAGTGTTTGAAAAAAGAAATTTAGAGACCACATTTCGGTTATAATTCAGCTCAAAGCAAAAGACCTGATGTGTGCATGTTGGTTGGCAGCTCTCTGCTCATCTGCAACACCTTAGCACCCCAGTCACCTTCCTGTGGCCTGGCCCAGACTGCCCACATCCCCTCAGTGGGGACCAGCTCAGAGTCCAGGGTTTTCTGATGTCTTCATGGCTAACGAGACTGCCTCTGTTGGTCTCTGAGCCTGGTTTTCTCCCTGGCTGCCCCCATGACACATCTTACTCTTTTGCTCTCTCTATTTCCTTCCAATCGTTTCTTTCTCTCAGTTTCCCCACCTGGTCTCTTATATGCTTCACTCACTTTCCTTTGTTCTCCTTCTTTTCATCTCTTTTTTCCTGCCAAGCTTCTTCCTGCCTGCCCCTTTCTGCTTCTCCCCTTGCCATGTCCGTAGGCCCTGGCACCTATTTGCCTTTGTTTGTCTTTCCCTCTCTTTACTCTCTTCCATGCCCTGCTCTGACCCTCCTCATGGCACCCCTATATTCTGAGCTCCTTCTAACTCTGCTGCCTGTCTTCCCTGTCCATGCACGATTCTGTTCCTTTTCTCTGCCCTGTCCCCATCTCGGCTGTCCTACCCTCTCCTCTCTCCTGGCCCTACCCTCCTCTGCTTCTCTACCCGCAGATCTATGAGTATCGGAATGGTCACCAGGAGGTGGAAAGCCCCTTCCAGGGACGCCTGCAGTGGAATGGGAGCAAGGACTTGCAGGACGTGTCCATCACTGTGCTCAACGTCACCCTGAACGACTCTGGCCTCTACACCTGCAATGTGTCCCGGGAGTTTGAGTTTGAGGCACATCGCCCCTTTGTGAAGACCACACGGCTGATCCCCCTCCGAGTCACCGAGGAGGGTGAGGCTGGGCCAAGGGGTCTTTAGGGTGCCCTGCTCTTGGGTGGGGTCCTGGGGGGGCAGTGGGTTTCCACACAAATAAGACTCTTGCAGAGCACAAACATCAATATATTTGGAGTGGTAATATCTAAAAATGTCACCACTGGCTGGTCTTCCTGTAGTGGCCAGCTTCCTGCAAACTGCCTGACCAGCTTGCCTCTCTGTGCCTTTCCTCAAAGCAGAAAGGCCTGGAGATGATAGTAGCATTACCTGCTCCTGGCCCCTTGACTCTCATCCTTGGAGGAGGAGGACAGCCTCCACGAAGCCTAAAGTTGCCAAAACAACTACGCCTTCTTCTGTGGCCTGTATAGAGTCCCAGACTCAGTGGGCTCAGACAAATCTCATGAGGTTATCTAGAGGTCTACCCTCCTCTCTGTAAGCCACACATACCTCAAATTAGTGGTGCTCAAACTTCGGCAGGCCTCAAAATCCCCTGCAGGACTTCCTGAAACCCAGACTTTCTAATTCTATAGGTGAAACCTGAGAATTTGCATGTCTAACAAATTGCCAGACAAGGCTGGCACCACGCTTTGAGAACCACGGCTCTAAACCAAAGTTTGACAGTCTTTTGTCTTCTGTCTTCCTCCACAATAATCACACAAGCACCCCTTCCTCTATCTGTGTCATCTCTCATTACATAACCTCATTCTCAACTGGGAGAAGGGGAAATGTTGATTGCTATCCAGTCTTTAGTTTAAAATCTTCAGATACCCACAGCTTGTTTCTTGTTATGGTGGGAAGTCCTTTCATCAACCTAACTCAAGTGTTTCTGTTGCAATCAAGTCCAGGATCTTGAGGGTGAACTTAGAGTCTTCTCATACATTGTTCTTGTTCTGCTTTCAATGGACTCAAAGAACTGTGGCTTCTAGCCCTGTGAAAATGTTCCTTCACAGGTCAGAAGAGTGGTGTATGCATCTCCCTTTGTGTTTTCTCACGCAGGCTAAGTGATGATTCCATTCTACTTAGCCTTTCTCAGACAATCTACTTCCAGCACATTCTTAGCATTATCACTGCCCCAAGATGCAGGACAGTGAACCGGCCATAGCTATGGGGCACGAAAGAAAGAGGTCAAATTAAAGATAGGGTCTTCCTAGAAAAAGATCCCAGGAATCCTGTCCCCCAGGCCACAAGTTTTTGTTTTTTATCATGTGATTGTGATACAATTTATGAAGCCAACTTGAGAGCGAACGACCGAGTAAGATAACGATTCAGACAACATGACAACATGACTAAAACGGAAAGTAGGTCCATTCTGAAAGTGCAGAAGGACTCTCAGGCCACTTGAATCTAGACTTAATGGGCCACTTCCCCTCTCTGAGCCCCTGAGTCTCCTCTTGTGTACAACGAGGGGTCGGACTGGCAGCTCTCTCAGCTATTTTTCTGTTCAGAAGTTCCATTATCCTCTTCTGTTTACACACCTCTCCTCCCTGGGGGAACGGAGACTGGTGCCCTCTACCGTTCACCAGCAGGAACTGTTGGCTGGTGACTGCCAGACACTAGGAAGCTGCCTCTGTATCTCCATCTCCTGCTCTCTCTGGCCTTTGCCTCCAGAGATCCTAGAGCAGCCCGTGCAAAGTGTGTCAAAGTCGAGCCAGGCCACCTGCTGGGCACCAGAGCCAGTCTTGGGTAAGAATAGAAGGAAAATGTTTGCTGTCAGAGCCACAGAGCCTCTTGGGATGATAGGGCTGGAAGGAAGCTTGGCTCATTTAATCCAGGGATTCTGAACAAAGAGCAGGCATCACGCAGGGGGCTTTCCTTCAGTGTAGACGTCTCCATCCACTTATCTGGGTGTGAGTTCAGAAGGCTGGGTGAGGTGAGGTAAGTGTAAGTTAAAATGACTTCCCAGTGATTGGAGGGTGCAGTCCTGGTGCCCTTCATTTTGTGGCTGGGAAGACAGAGCTCTGGAAGAGTGAGGGCCTTGCCTAGAGACATGAAGCAAATTAGCACCAGAAGCAGGACCGCAATCCAGATCTTTGGCCTCTCAGGCTAGCTCTATTTCCATGGCATCTTTTCCTTCTACCACCATCCCACTCCCTGCCACCTTTTCTTTCTTTTTTTTCCTCTGTGATCCCTTAGCAGCCCCCTCACACATCCTCACTGCTCTCATATTGCTCAGAGCTACACACTCCACCGTGACAGAGCCCACTGCATCTCCTCCATTCCTGTGGTCCCAGAGAATCTCCCTGGTTTTCTTCATTCAGACTAGACTTGTTCTGGTTTAGGCTTTCACCTCCTGGCTCTAAGACAGAAATCCAAGGCTCCTCACCTAGAGGTGACTGAAAATACTGAGGATAGCTTCCTGTGTTACTGCTTCTGGGCTACCGCATTTAAAAAGAGAGTGTGCTTTAAGCCGAGCACACCACGAATCAGGTAGAAGCAAGCCCATGAGAAGATATTTGATGTGTGTGGCATTGTCCTGTGCCTCAAGCTCCGTCTGTGACCTTCAGCTAGGGAACCTGGATGATCATGGAGCCCTTGGACTGCTTCCCTGAGCTGAGGGTTATGGCTGTGGCTATGCTGGGCTTTTAATGAGCCAGGCCTTAGGAATGACTTGGGCCCTATGAATAGCCGAGGACCATGAATCTAATTTGCTGGTGGGAACTAGCAAGGGGAGACGTGGCTGCAAATGCCTTCCTACTAGGAAGGAATATATATCAGGACATTTACCATGTGTCATCTTTCGATTGTCATTTTTGTTGATCATGAAACAACAAAGATCAATATTTATTTATATTCATTCATTCAACAAATATTTATTACTCTGAGTACTTCAAATATTCCAACATTAGACAACAGACTGATAATTCAGAAATAAATGATATATGTTCTCAATAAGCACATAGCAGAGAAGAGTGATAAACACATCCCAATACAACCTGAGACGTGTTATAACGGATGGATGAAAATACTGCAGGAGAAGGATGTGCATAACTCTGCATGAGAAGCTGAGGAAGGTTTCACAAAGGGGGGGGCTTCAGTGGAGTTTGGAAGAATGATCGAGAGGCCGAAAAGCAGGAGGGCATGTTAGGACAGAGGTAGCAGTAGGGTATGAGAAACAATCTAGGGAAAGGAAAAAGGAAGAAGAAATGTCCACAGATTCCAAAACACCAAAGTGTGTATAAAATGAGAAGTTTTGCTGGCCAACTGAATGGAAATGAGATGAGAAAGGCTGGATTATGAATGACCTTACGTGCCGTATTCATAGAGACTGGACTTTATCTTGAGGGCGGCATGGAACACTGAAAGGTTTAAGAGGGGAAATGGCAGGATTAGATCCATGTTTCAGAAGGAGAATGTGAGGACAGCCTTGTTAATACATGGAATCTTCCAGGACTCATTGCTGTTTGGGTTTGGGATGACCTAGAAGGAAGGTGAACTGGGAAGGTCCCTGCTTCTAATCCACACTAGTAGAGAACATGCCCAGATCACTGGTGGGCTGACTGCACTGGCCCTGTTTCCGATGCTCTCTCCCTAGGGCTACTGCCCTCTGCCCCGCTCCACTCAGAGGACACAGGCAGTTGAACTAAGACTTGTTCCTCACATGTGTGTAGACTTTCACATCTCACAAGATATTCTTAGATACATTAGGTGATGTAATGGTGTGGATTATTATCCTCACTTTACAAATTAAGAAACTGAGTCTCAAATAAGGAAAATGACTATTCGCACACCAGTAGGTAGCACAACTGGGATGCAGCAATACACATAAGCCACTCAGCTCCAGGATTTCTTCTGCTGCTCTATTTCTTCTTCTCCCACCCATCATTCTCCCTCATCCCTCCCTTCAGAGCATCTGAAGAATGTCAGTGAGAAAGCAGGCAGGCAGGAGGGTCAGAGGATATTAAATCTCTTTAACACCTTCTTGAGTTCCTTTAGACCCAGTGCTTATTTAAGCCATACTCAAAAGTAGTCCTCATATATCTCTGACCCCGATGACAGCTCTGGGTTTATTGGACACGCACATTCTGAGCCTCACTCTCCTCCTTGCAGCTGGAGAGGACTTCACCTCTGTGGTCTCAGAAATCATGATGTACATTCTCCTGGTCTTCCTCACCTTGTGGCTGCTCATCGAGATGATATATTGCTACAGGAAGGTCTCAAAGGCGGAAGAGGCAGCCCAAGAAAATGCGTAAGTCCAAAGATGCCAAAATAATGATAGCTAGCACCTTCAGAGTACTTGCTTTCGCAGGTGAGGTACTGAGCCATTTACATAATCCTCCTCCACTTTCCTCACAACAACCTTTGAGGTAGGCAGCATTAATTTACCCCTTTTCCAGATGAGAAAACTGAGCCTGGGAGAATTTGCCCAAGACCCTTATAAGAGGCAAAGCAAGGTTTGAATCCATGTCTGCTAACTGTTGGCTTGTACTCTTAACCACTAATGCAAAGCCCATCAGCTTCCACCACAATCCCATAAAATTAGCATTATTATGACCATTTTATAGACGCTGAAGCAGACTTATGGAGGTTCAGAGGCTTGCTGAGGCCACACAGGTAATGAGAGTACAGGCGAGGATTTGGACCCAAGCCTCTCTATTTCTAACGTCCAAGCTCTTTCTGTCACACTCAGCTGTTTGCTCTACATACGGAGCTCATCAGGCCCTTTACTAGCTAAGGAGCTCCAAGCAACATGCTCTTCCCACTGGAGCTTGGCAATGATTGAATACTCAGAGTAGGGGCTCTCTTTCAACGTCCAGACTGTACCTCGCCCATTTTCATCAAGGCCCCAGCCACTCGGAAATGAGCACATGTGAGAAATAATGGGACCTGAGAGTCTAAAAGTCCATGGTGGCCTATTATGTGGGGAGAGAAAAGGTAGAAAACAACCCTCACAGATTTACAAGGTTAGCAAAATTTCTGAGGTGATAACCTAAAAACTCCAGGCTATTACCACCTAGAAATGTTTGGTAAAATAAAAGTATGATTATGCATGACATCTATGATCTCAGGGAAGGAAAAAATTATAATTGCCAGAGGGCCAGCCTGGTTGCATAGTGGTTAAGTTCATGCATTCCGTTTTGGCAGCCCAGGGTTAACAGGTTCAGATCCCAGGTGTGGACCTACATACTGTTCATCAGGCTGTGCTGTGGTGGCACCCCACATACAAAAAATAGAGGAAGGTTGGCACAGATGTTAGCTGAGAGCCAATCTTCCTCACCAAAAAAAAAGAAAGAAAGAAAGAAAAGAAACCAATTACAATTGACCAGATAGAAAGATGGAAAGAATGGTATGCTAGGGGAAGTTCTCATTCCTGGTGACGTAGGTGCTTGGAGAGGAAGTGCCCACACTTGCACAGGCAGTGCCTCACTTGGACAGGAAGTGCCTGCCTACAGAGCTAGTGCCTACAATTGGGTCTGAACAAGAAACAGAGTTGGAACTGAGGCCTCCAGCAGAACCAGCATCCTCAGAGAGCTATAACTCACACAAAGGATAGATCAGAAAATAATCAGTCCACCAGCCCAAGGAAAAGCCAAGGAAACTTATCTATCTTGGCCTGACTCCAAGCAGAAGCATAAAAGATTCTTGAGAATCAGAACCACAAGCCTGCTCTCACATCATTTGGGATTTAAATTTATACTACCCACATCGTCCAGGAACCCCTAAGCTGAGAAATTCAAGAAAAAACATTAGTCCCCAGACAGTGATAACTATGTAGAAGCAAATGAAAAGTCATTCTGAAGGGACCCACTTTCAGCTGAGGCTTAACAGGATTCCCCAGATAAAGCACTGCTGAATCTGACTTCACAGGCTGATCCAAAACTAAAAGACACAGCAGGAAACAATCCAGCATGAGCAAGAGAGGTACCAAAGGGCAGGATGAGATCCCAGGACTTTGGACACAAGAAGGACCTGATAGAATATAGGAAATAAGTTTGTTTAAAAGAGTTAAAGCAATAAAAGGAGGAAGACAAGCGTAAGAACAGAGTTAAGTTGCTAAGAAAAAAGAACAGACAGATTTGAATAGGAATAAAAAAAAAAATCTGGAAATGAAAAACATAGTCAATAGGGGCCAGCCCAGTGGCGCAGTGGTTAAGTGTGCACGTTCTGCTTCAGCAGCCTGGGGTTCGCCAGTTCAGATCCCGGGTGTGGACATGACACCGCTTGGCAAGCCATGCTGTGGTAGGCGTCCCACATATAAAATAGAAGAAGATGGGCACAGATGTTAGCTCAGGGCCAGTCTTCCTCAGCAAAAAAAAAAAAAAGGAGGAAGATTGGCAGCAGTTAACTTAGGGCTAATCTTCCTTAAAAAAAGAAAAAAGAAAAATATAGTCAATAAAATTTAAAAGTCAATGGATTTGTTTACCAAAAGATTAGATACTGGTAACCAGAAGATAAATGTAAGGAAGTTATGGAGAATGAAGCACAGAAACATAAAACGAGGGAATATCACAAAGAAACATGAAGGAAAAAATGAGAAGATCAATTAGAATAGAACTGAGAAAATGGAGGAGAAACAACATTCAGAGATACAGTGGCTAAAGAAAGGCGTGATTCTTCAGATTCAGGAAACACAATATGTCCTGAGCAGGATAAATACATATAAATCTAAACCTAAACACCAACCATCTTTAAACTAACTGTCAGTTACTAAGACAACCTATGGCAAATATCATCTGTGTTGCAACTTTAGAAGCATTGCCTACAATATTAGAAACATGTCAAAGACACCATCTCTCCCTCCTTCTGTTCAATATTGTACTGGAGGTTCTAGGGAGTGTACTAAGTAAATGCAAAGAAAAAAGAGTAAGAATTGGAAAGAAAGAAACTAAATTATCACTAATTACCTCCAATATGATTACCTACACAGAAAACCCAAGGGAATCTATAAACAAACAATTAGAACTAGTAAGAACATTCCACAAGATTGTGGATACAAATCAAAATATCAAAATATAAAAATCACCTATATTCCAGCCAAAAAATTTAGAAAAACATTTAAAACATTTTTTAAAATTTCAATTACAATAGCAACAAATACTCTACAATAGCTGGGAATAAATCTGATAGAAACGAACAAGACCTTTAAAGAGAAAATTACAAAACTTTACTGAAATACTTAAGAAAAGCCAAATAACCAGAGAATAAAACCTCTTACTAACATGGCAATTCTCTCCCAAATTAATCTGCAAATCCATTGAAATTCCAATCAAAATACCCATTAGATTTTTCAACAAACTTGATAAGCTGATCTTAAAAGTCAAATGGAAGGTCAAGGGTCAAACCTGGTTTAAACCAAGGGACAGACAGATAGTAAATATTTCAGGCTTTGCAGGCTTCACAGGCTCTCTGTCCATATCGTTCTTCGGTTTTGTTTCTTTGTTTGCAATCCTTTAAACAAGTAACAAACCTTCTCAGCCCATGGGCCATAGTTTGCCGATTTCAAAGAAAGAACAGTAAGGTTGGGGGAAGTGGCTGGTAGGACTTTTCCTATCAGATATGAAGATTTCTTATAGACCTATTAAAGAGTTTGTGAGACTGACATAGGCATACAACAGGGACAAACAGAACAAAACAGAGAGCCCCTAAATTGATGCTTATATAAAAAATTAATGTGTGACAGAGATGGCAGTACAATCACTGAAGGAAGAATGAACCATCCAGTAAGTGGTGTGGGGACAATTCCTTATCTATACAGAAAAAAAATAAAATTAGATTTCCCATCTCTCTCACTAAACAAAAATAAATTGTGAGCGGATTTAAGGACAAAGTAAAATGTAAAGCTTGAAAATTCTATTAAGGAAATATAAGAGACTATCTTTGGAATGGAGAGGAGTTCTTAAAATACAAAAGGCACAAATCAAAGAGGAAAAAATGATAATTTTGATTACACTATGTGTAAAAATCTTTTGTTCATTACAAGAATCCACAAGCAAAATTTAGAGACAAACAACAGACTGGGAGAAGATATTTCAAGACATGAAACCATCGACCAAAAATCAATGAGAAAGAGACAAATATCCCAGAAGGAAAACTGGCAAAGCAAATGAGCAGTCAAATTACAGAAGTAGAAATCCAAATAGCCTATAAACTTATGAAAAGTTGCTCAGCTTCACCAGTAATGAGCGAAATGAAAGTTAAAGCAGCTATAAAATATAATTTCACTCCCATCAGTTTGGCCAACATTTTAATCTAACAATACTAAGTCCTAAGAACAATGTGGGTAAGTGAGAAGACTCATACACTGCTGACGGAAGAAAAATAAAAACACTCATTTTTCTAGTCCGCTAAAAGGGCCATTCTAATTTTCTCTTGGGAAACACAGCCACAAGGAAATGCAGAGCTGTTCTGTAGACATCCTTGTTCCTGTGCGCTTGCTCCTTTCTTTTTCTTGTGTTCCCACCTTTGGGTACAAAAGCACTGACTCTCTTCCCCTATCTGTCCTCCTATAGGTCTGACTACCTTGCCATCCCATCAGAGAACAAGGAGAACTCTGCAGTCCCAGTGGAGGAATAGCAGAGAAGGGGTGTGACTTGAGGTGATGTACAGCGAAGGGGAGGAGAAGGTGGATAAGGATTGCAGGTTGTACAAGTGACCTTGTCACCCACAACCAAAGTGACTTTAAATTTGGTCCCTTAGATTAGATTTCTAACCTACCCAGAACCCCCACCCTTGGGGTACTTCTTTAAGCTGATGCCCAAATCACAAAGCTGTGTGTGATGTCAAGCCTTTCAGAAGGCAAATTGCTTTGGCCTGAATGTTGGGGCAACTTGAAGTCCTTACCCATAGTGACAAAAAGTAATTCTCTCACTCCCTCCCTTGTAAGGATCGTGGATTTGGTCCAAGATTCTTTGGCTAGGCTGGACTGGGCTGGGCTGGAAATTCTCAGTGAGTTGTTTTATTATTGGTAGGTGGCCTGAACACTGAGGGACCGGATATCCCTGGTTCAATGATGTCAACAACGTCAGGAGGGTGCCCTAGGGGCCACGTCACTTCCCTTCATGCATCCATCCTTCTGTTCATTCATCATACATCCACTCACCTCTGAACTTTCACCTCTGACTTTCTAACTCCATCGGACCTCTACAAACCATAAAACTTTGCCAGAACTGAGGAGCCAACATTTCTACATGGACTCAACCTCACCTAGTCCTAGCTTTCAAGCAAGCAGCTCCCATGCCAACTGGACTTCTTCCCTGTGGTCCAAATGACTTTGTACATGTGCTGGAGGTGGCACACCCCACTGCCCCTAACTGGCTGGAAGTGGCTCATTCTCCATTGCTGCAAGTGAATGGATGTCTTAATGGAAGGAAGCAGGAATGATTAATTCGGGTTAAAGCGAGAGTGTCATGAAGTGGGATTCTTTGAAGTCAGTTTTTCTCAAGTTTCTAGCCCACTTGGCTAGAGCATCAGAGCAAAGCATGCCTTTCTAGGTTCTCCAGTGATAGAAAGTTCACCAGGTATGGACTAAAATGTTCTCTGGAGCTTAGTACTCCAGAGCTAGATCCTGATAGGTCTCTAAGGCCTGGGGTGGACTCAGTCCTTCATGAAGCCAAGGACAGGAGACTTGGGAAGAATTGAAAGCAACTTAAGTAACTCTTAAAAGTCACAGAAAATATTCGTGATCCTATTAGGGGAATGTATGCTCCCTTCCCACAGGAGCACACCGCCTGAGAGAGCTGGGAGGCATTATTTTCCTGTGGGCACTGGAACTGAGATTCCTAAGTTCCTCCTCGTAAAATGTCTGTGGATCAGTATTATTTCTCATTTTATAGGAGGCAGCTGAGACTCAGATGGGGCTCAACTGAGTAAGAGACGTCAGAGGACAAACTGGAGCAGAGATGAGCCTTAGCTGCTGCCCAGTTTACACTTTGGGAGATGGGATAATTTTCTTTTTAAAAAGACTTCGATCCTGAGCTTGACTCTGGCCATGCCTCTTTCACAAGCACAGGTTGAGGTGGATTGCCTGGCTGAGATGAACTCTCATAGATTCAGGTAACTAGAAATTGGCCCAAAAGGCAGAGAGAAGGCCATGAGGGAGACTCGAAGAATTTCCTTAGTGAAAAGATTTGTGAAGCTGAAACATGCTCCAGAAGGAGATTGCATCTGGGAATGACGTTTAAACTAAGAAACATGCATTTTCGTCTGAGAGGGATGGTGAGCGAATGAATAAGTGATAGAGGCAGCACGGGCTAGGTGGCTTCCAAATATTTCACCTGTGAACCCACAACGTCCAGGGTTTTTTTTCCCCTAGATTTTGGGAAAGCAGAGGAACACTGGAAAAATTTTAGTTGATATCTCATGTTTGATTTTAATTGAGTGAGTGGTCCAAGACTGATGTCCTTCAGCACCTAGCGATGAGCGAGGGGAAGGATGCTTTATGAGATATGAGATGAAAGTGACTGGGATTCAGTGAGAGACATGTCCCTCAGATTTGCGGGAATATATAGGGAAAGATCAGACTCCATTGGCTGTGGCCCCCACCTGACAAACTCATTTTTTCATCTCTTCCATCACTGAGGAAGTACTTGAAACAAGTCCTTGTTCACATAACAAAGAGTCCGATTTTATTGAAGACAATACTTTCAATAAATTCAAGGCTCTTCTTACTGGTAATTTCTCACATAATATCTCTGAAATACGGGACAGAATATAGATCATTCTTCTTACTTTATAATTAGGAAAATAGGTCTGGATTACTGCGAGGTTTTCCCAGTCACATGGCTGGTTGATGGCAGAGCTTGCAGTAGAAGCAACCTCCTTCCTACCACTCCACTTTCCTCTTGGTTCCAGCAGACCATTATCTAACTTGTAATCAACTTTTATCTTTTAAAAAAGCCCAACTCAGATGTTTCCTGAGTGATTTTTAATGAGCTGAATGGTACCTGTCATTTCTCTTACGTATCCTTTACAAGTAACTTCTCTATTATTTTCTTTTAACTTCTGAACTCTTCTCATCTTAATACTTTCATTAGAGCTATATGGTTTACAGAGCATTTTCATTTCAGTTATCTTATTTCTTCTCCAGAACTAGCCCTGAGATGGATATTACTAATACCCATGTAACAAGTGCAGAAACCAAGGCTGTCTGAGGCTAAGTAACTTTACCAAATCCTAAGTTCACATAGCTGGTAAATGGAGAGCTGGAATCCAGGTCTTCTGACTTCTGGCCCAGTTCTCATTCCACTTAAACCATAGCTGCTTCCTTTCCTCTCATTTTTTAATGTCCGTCTAATCTTTGTGTCTCTTGCTTGTGCTGAAATGTTCACCATCTTCTCTCATTCCTAATCCCAGCTGACTGCTCCTCTACCACTTTGCTTCTTGGCAGATGCTAGAAATGTGCTTTGAGATCAATCTCATTTTGGTTTTTCCTTTCTAGTTGGTTTGTATATCATTATTTCTCCTGAACTGCGATTAAACTCCTTCCTGGGAGACTTGATCCTGACTATAAATCTACAAGGTACTGTGATCACTCGCCTGCTTCATATCCTCACCCACCTCCCTGTTTCTCCCCATATTCCTACAAAGGACCCAGACTAATGTGCACTGCTCTGGAAGCTTTATCTGGCAAGCTATTCTTTTTAAAGGGCTTAGAAATGTTCTCAAGGGCTACTATCACTTTAGGAACCCCATCTGTTGTCTTGGTGCTGGATATTTCCTATGACTAATCCTCAGTAACACAATTCACTAAAGGCCAAGCTAGGCTGGGTCTGATTTTTCCCTTTCCTACTGCGTAACAGCTGTGAACTTGATTGCTCAACTCAGTTGGTCCTGTAAACACCTTGCCCTACTGACCTTTACTGTCAGCTCAGTCTTGTATCGCAGCCCCAACTCCTGCTTGGAAACACCTTGATAGTGCCAGTCCCTACCCCAATCTTTATTGTCAGTTTGTTTAAAAGCATTATCCTTTAATTTCTCCATCCCCAAACATCCACACATCCAGCTTTCTGATTCTCTGAGTTTCTGGTTTCTCCTTAGATGACAAACTAGAAATGTTAGTAGGAAAGGAACTTTTTCAAAGCAGGAATATACTGGAAATATGTGTAGAGCAGTGAATGGTTAAGAGAAGACAGTAGCTCCCTCTACTCCCCCCAAAACTACTAGATCAAAAAGCAAAATATACCCATCTCAGAATCTCTGAATCCACTTGACATAAATCAGAGAGAAAAGGCTATGTAACTGCATCTTTACAGGAAGGAGGAGGAGATTTAGACATCTTTCAGAATATTTCTTGGTGCCCCTTTCCCAAGTTAACATGGAAATTGAAAAATAAAAAAAGCTTCCTTCTCACCTCTTTTTGTAAATGAAAAACCCCCAACCCAGTGAATTCACCTAGTCACTGCAAATGTATCTGAATAGTATTTGGTGTGTTCGTTACTCCAATCATCCACTCATTCTACATTTCAGCACCCACTCTTTGTCAAGCACCAATCTACACTCTCAGTGTGCACCATGGTCTTAGGGCTGAAAAACACCATCATCCAAGCCTTTCCTAATCTGTAAAACTCTGTGGTAAATAACTCACGTTGAGTTTTCCCCTCTTACTTGAGTTTACAGTAGCACCCAGTAGACAAGCAACTTAAGCCAACTCTGAGTTGTAGACTAGACTCAACCTCTCTTACAGGCTGGCTAACCCTCAAGGCTGGTAATACTCTTCCCCAGAGTCATCATTTGGCAAGAGCTGCATCTGCTGGGCAGTGTGTGTGATGGGAGGGAGGCCGCTGGAGGACAAGTGCTTGTAGGTCTGTGAAATGCCATCAAACACAATTAGCAAACTCTCACAGTCTTGCAACTGATGGAACTCTTTACCACAATGTCACCTTCATATTGCTTTTTCTTGATTTTCCACAGCCAATCTCTTTCTGAACCCTAGAAATGTTGTTCCTGACCACCCAACCACTTGACAACCTAATGCCTGTATGTAGTGTTTTTCAGTAAATTCCATGTTTGTGTCAATAAAGTGTCTCCAAACACTGCTTGCTCTGGTTTTGCTCTATGTGTCTTCTACATAGACTATGGCTTCTACCTACCTCCCCAGCCAGCATGGATTCCTGAATTCACAACCAGTGAATATACGCCCAGAGAATGACAATCCTCCTCTACCCAAATACAGAGGAATACAAGAGTCGTTTGTGTTCTCAACTGCCTGACATCAAACAAGTTTCCTACCAGGTGGCGAGGGGCTAACTGCAAGGAAGACATAATGAAGGGAGGGGCCACATGGCTCTCAGCTCTACCAGCTTAGGTAACATAAGCCAATAAAGCAAAGCTGTCTCCCAATGTCCATCTTCCTGGAAGTACTAAGGCCCCAAAAAGGAAAAGTGCAACAAGAAATCATCATTGGGATTTACAGTCCACCATAATCTCCTATAGTAACAACAGTACTGATTAATAATGAAACAAAAAATTATCTTAGTATAGTACCAGCCACTATACTAAGAAATACACACTCATATAATAGGTACAGTCATGCATTGCTTAACGATGGGGATACATTCTGAGAAATGCGTCGTTAGGCGATTATTTTGTTGTTGTGCAAACATCACAGAGTGTACCTACACAAACCTAGATGGTATAGCCTACTACACACCTAGGCTATATGATACTAATCTTATGGGACCATCATCATATATGCAGTCTGTTGCTGACTGAAATGTCATTACACAGCACATGATTGTGTGTGTATACATACATACATACATATATATATATATATATATTTTAATCTTTGAAATACTGAGGCTTGGAGTAATGGATGGGGCCCAAGGTGACACAGCTGGTAAATAGCGATGCTGCACTTTGTACTCAGGTCTGATTCCAAAACTTCTTAGCCATTCCCACTTTATCAGGCTGCCTCCCTCTCTGGGAAGGAGGTCCTAGATGTTGTGTGGATGGCTGTGCATATGTGTATGAGCATGCCTAGACACACGTGCCTTTAGGGCTTTTCCTGATCACATCTGGGAAGACCAAAAACATTTGGGGGCTGGCCCCGTGGCCGAGTGGTTAAGTTCGCGTGCTCCGCTGCAGGCGGCCCAGTGTTTCATTGGTTCGAATCCTGGGCGCAGACATGGCACTGCTCATCAAGCCACGCTGAGGCAGCGTCCCACATGCCACAGCTAGAAGGATCCACAACGAAGAATATACAACTATGTACCAGGGGGCTTTGGGGAGAAAAAGGAAAAAATAAAATCTTTAAAAAAAAAAACAAACATTTGGAACGATGAGCACTAATGAATCAAGGAATAAACACACACACCACTTATTATTTGTAGTTCAATACTTTTTTCTTTTAATTCATACTGTACTTCCATGGCTCTAGCTACTTTACATTAAGATTTGGCTGGGAAGCCTTTTATGTTTCTAGATACTAGCAGTAAGTTTTCAGACCTTGCGCACAGCGCCAGGCAAAGTACAGTTACAGATCCAAATACAGATGGCCAGACAACTCAACTGCAATCAACCTGTGTTCGTTCCCATATATGGCCCCAGTGTGGGTGTTGGGGGCTGCTCCCTCTGCCTCACCCCACTCCACCCCATGTCAGTATTATCCAGGAGCCACTATGGCCTCTGACCCATCCCTCCCCACCTTGGAGTCTACGTTGAGTGGGAGAGGAGTGGGGAAGCACCATGGGTTTGGGAAGATGGTCTGGTCCATGCAGAGAGTTGTCTGGCCTTAGAGTGCAGGACAGGGAACTGTGGGGAGCCGCATACTGTTGTTGGCAAAAATGGTTGCTTTTACTATGCTATCTCAGCACACGGCACCCAAACCCAAGGCCAACTCCCCAGACAGCCAGCTGTCTTGCCTGGAGCAGAGGCCACCATTTTGATTCTGCAATGTCTCACTGTGTTGAGAGAAGCAAGAATGGCCAAGGGGCAGAGATGACACTGTTCTGTAGGCCTTCACATGTCCAGTGGATCGTCTGACATCAGCTCCTCTTGACAGGCAAGGTGCTTCTCGCCAGCAGCCAAGGCTCCAGTCCGGGCTCCCAGGCCTGCTGAGGACCTCAAATCACAACAGAAAACAATGCCCAAGACCCCTGAGCTGTCGCACAGAACACTAAAACAGGGAAATGGCTGGGCCCATCACAGCCAAGGCTGAAGCAGGAGTGAGGTAACAAGGGTGGGCAGAGAGGTGGGAAGGGGAGCTCTCTACACCATGTGCAAATTCCTGCTCCACATCAGGTAAGCAGGGGCGTTAAAAGATGGCCTCCCAGAAAAACTCTCCTCTTGGACCCAAAACACATCTTCTGGAAGAAAACACAGAGGTGGAGGGGAGTGGGGCCAGCCTGCTGGAGGTTGGGGGATGAGGGTCAAGGATGTCAAGTGGTGGATGGGATGATTGTCCCACAGCCTAGAGACAAGGGGTGGGGAAGAAGAGAGTCAGGAAGAGAGGTTCTCAAGTTTCCTACTGGAGTGGGCAGGTGAAGTTAGGGGGTGATGGGAGGGAGACCACAGCCCTGCTACCTAGGGGAGAGAAGAGCACTGTTTCTCCCGGGGGGGCCCTAGGGAGCAAGGGCTGGCTTTGGCTGTCTGCAGAGCTAAAGCAGCAGCATAGTATGGCACAGAAAGGATCCTTCTGAGACCACAAACAATCCAGAAAGATTCTTCCCCTAGTCCTTTCTCCAAGATTTCACCCTAGAGATGCTGCCTGCAAATGTAGTAGACATGGCCCAAGCTTAGGTCAGGATAGGGACATGGAAAGAATCCACTTCTAGCAAAGCATTCCTCGTGAGGTGGCCTGTTCCTTGTAATCCTAGGTTGTTAGTGTCAGTGTTCTAAGGCAACCCAGGGATTTTAGCCAAAGCTTCACTTAATCCAAACCCCAACAAGGTTTGGGTGGAGCCAAAATAGAAGTGCTAGGACCAGGAATGACTTCTCTCCACTGCTTCCTCTAGCAAGAAAGGATGGATAGATGGAGGTCTTCAAACCTAGAGACGGAAGATGGGCTCATCCAAGATAATGCCTTCCTTGCCATTGTCCTTCTCCTCCCAGCTTAGACAGAGTCCAAAGGAAGGCCCCTTCTCAAACTAAGATAGGCTAATGAAGGAAGAAACACTCTCCTGGGTTAACACTGAGCAACATGACAAGCCTGATCTCTCTCTCCTCCTCCTCTATCGCTGGGCCTCCTGAGCCCTCCTAGCCCATAAAGAAGAAAGTTTAACTACTCTGGATTTCCTGGGAACCCAGACACTGCCTGATCACTCATCTAAACACCAGGGGAGCTCTAGCTCAGAAGACTTGTTCCCTCCTGGCAGGGTACCTCCCAAGTCTGAGAAAGCCCAGCCTTGATGGTCTCTGGCCTAGCCTCCAAGACAATCCCAAAGCTAGAACCTACGTTAGCGATAGTCCAGCCCAACTCCCTCCTGTTACAAATGAGGATACTGAAGCCTGGTGGGGGAGGGTGGGATACTTGTCCAATAGCAGAGCCCAGACTTAGGTCCAGGTCCCTGCCTCTCAGCCCAGGGCTCTCACAGAGAACCTCAGGTTGCTGATGTTGCTGGCCTGGGATGCTATCCCCTTGTCCCAGGGGGAAAGGGCAGAGTCGCAGACAAGGCCAGCTTTTCCAACGCCAATCTTGTAGATTCCTCCACAGTAAGCTGGAGTGGAAGTATAGACCCTGTAGCTGTCCTTCACCTGGTTAGAAACTTTGCAAAATCTTTGAAACTAAGTGCAAGCTTTCCAATGTTTTGCCACATGAATTCTTGCAGAAAAACTCCTCCGTGGCCCGAGTTCTTATGTGAACAAAAACGAAAAAAGCACTGGCTGGAAGAAATAACATAGAAGGCGGTGGTTTTGATAGCCCCTTGCAGGTATCACAACTCACGTTATTTATGTTTTTCACTCCCAGACCTATCTGCAAGGGTGAGTTCCTTTCTCTTTGACAGGTTATTGAATAAGGGAAAAAAGCTTCTGTTTGGGAGTAAATAGAGTTGTTGGTTTTCAGCTGGTTTGAAAGTCAAAAAATTATTAAAACAGACGGCACTCAAAAGAAATCCATGATTTTTGGAAATGAGGCAGCCGAGGGTCATTCCCTATGTGTAGACGTTGTCTCCTGAGTTCAAATCACCAGAAATCATGAGGGTTCCTTAGACACACTAAGTACCTCCCCTTCCTGCCATCTTCTCCTCCCTAGGATGGGCCTGAGAGGCAAAGCAAAGGCAGAACTCTGGGTAGCCAGGTCTACTTCTACTTTACCCCCAGCAAGGGATGCTTTTTAAGTCATCCCAAAGGTCTCACCAGGGGATCTTTAATTAATGAATAATTTAAATAATTATGTACAGAATAAATTGGAGATTTTACCATTTTTGCTTTCAAAAGTTTCTGGGAATAATTTTGGCTTCTGGCTACTCCAACGGGGAAATTTCTAGCAGTCTGTACTGTTCCTCCTTCTTTGGCTTGAGGCCCAGGAGCCTGACCCTCACCAGGGTCTCCTACTCAAAGGCTTAGACAAGAATGAGTAGTGACCCACTGGCCTGCGGGCATGCGCACCCTTCACATGGATTACACTCGACTCCAATTCCTCACATCTCCCTTTCAAGAGGAAGGAGATCAATTCCAGCTGATCCCAAGGAACCTTCTCATCCTTCCCACCTGGGGGAGGACGTGGGCATCTATCTTTTTGCGTTCTCATCCTGCCCTTAGGGCAATAACAAGGTCATATTCTCAGATAGACTGAATAGTCAAAAACTTTTCTTTAGTTGTCAAAGCAAGATAAAGCACAGGCCATTCCAAGGGAAGAAAACAACTTGCTCTTCTTTTGGGGTAGATCTATGATAAAATCTTCTTTTTTTCCTGCCCCTCATCAAGAGACCCACCAGAAGAACAAGCGATCCGGAAGAGCTCTCCTTGCCAAACTGGCTATGATCCTTTCCTGATCAAGAATGTCCGCAAGGTTGGCCTGGACTGGCAGGAATCCTTTGGTCATTATACAGAGAAATAGCAATCTGTGTATGAAGGACAATAAGTGTGCCCAGAAGGGCCCCATGAGGTCAGATAAATGCATGGGTCCTAGTGAGACGACCCCGAAAAGGCCCTGGATGCCTCAATTTCTGAACCCAAGATCTTCTTTCTACTCCTAGTGATCTCATACCTCTCTAGGGCCAGAGACCAGAAAAGGCTTTGCTCCCTCAGCTGGAACTCCCACTCCCAAGTCTGAAAAACAGGATTTGGAATAGCCCCCATGGGGCAGAGAGTTGATTTGGTTTTTTCCTGCCCAAATCCATGCACCTTTGACAAATCCATTCCCTCCAGAGGCTTAGGTTTTCTTCCATGTGCAAAGCGCGTCAGACAGTTGCCTCCCTTAACTAAAGTTGGTTCTTCACTGAGAGTGAATGATGCTGGCAGCCAAAGGAGTGCTTAGACATCAGTGCTCACTGCTCACCCAGCGTTCTGTGCTTAGACCCTACAATCTGTACATTGCTAGGGCATTCACTCTCTCAAACCCTAGAGGTCCTAGAACACTGTGATTCATACTGGAAATCAAACTCAAAGGGAATTAATTAGAGCCACAGACCTGACTTACTGATAACCACTAAAAGAGGTTTAACAAGATCAAAAATGCTCTACCCTGGCTAATAAACAATGTGCTCTCAGGGCACAGAGAAAAAATAGGGCTTTAGGCACTAAAAAGTGACACTTCACCCAGAACCAGCCTGGGAGAAGACCAGAGAGAAGAGGGGGTGGGAAAGTAAGAAATTCCCAGCCCTTATTGGGTCCACACCCTAGACAGTTAGAGGAAGGTGCAGGGGGTGGGGTGATCAAGGAGAATACCCTTCAGAACACAAGTCCTCAGGAGCCTTCAGCCACAAAGCCCAAACCCACAAGTGCGCCTTCCTTGCTTTCCAGCATCCTCTCCACCTGAATCTTGGGGTATGGTCCATAGAAAGGAGGTGGCCTCATGTGGTAGTTTAGATTGGGCTCCTGCCCTCAATGCTTCCTTGTTCATAAGAGAACACCTGGGGAAGCATGCAGTAGGGAAGAAAAGATTCTCTTTTATTTTGGAAACAAATCAAAAGGGGATTAGGGAATGAAGCACCTTAAGCAATGCCCCCTTGAGACTTCAAGACCCCAGGGTCTTCACAGGCATAACTTTGGCTCAACAACATTTCCCTTCTCAGAGCCAAGAATGGCCAGCAAGGGAAAGGGCGAGGACTAGAGGATGGGGGAGGAAGATCAGGGGAGGTCAGCGCTGAGAGGTGGTCCCTGCCCTCCTCGGACCCTCCACTGGCCAGCACAGGAGGCGGTCCCGCTCCTTCTCCCTGGTACAGAGGCATTATCTCTTTTTAAAATCTGTATATAATATATATATATTTATATTCTGTATATATATATTTATATATATATATTTATACGGTCTATGTACACGTATTGCACAGGCCTCTTGCAGCCACCCCTGCTCCTGCCTTGTCAATGATAGCGGTTCCTCTTCTCTTCACTTTCTGATGTGTAGTCACGGGACCTGATGCCGTTCTGAAGATTGATGAGTGAGTCCTTCATCTGTAAGACAGGGAACCCCACCCAAGCCCCGGTTTGTGTCCTCAGCGGGCTTCTCATCCAGCAGCATGAGCCATGCCCACTTGTGGCAGGTCCCCTACCATGCCAGGGAGCTAAAGAGAGCTGGGCTTCTAAAACAGGGGACACACACAGTCTCAGGCAGAAAGGGGACAGCCAGCCCACCACTGGGAACCCCTAGGGCCAGGTTCGCTGTGACTCAATGACCTGTGACCCTTGTATCGCTGAATCAGGAATTCTCTCGAAGCATTCAATTGCTATCAGGAGCCGCAGTAGACTGCCATTTACTTGGTCTTCTACTCATTCAGTTTGGTTTCTCCACTGACTCTGAATAGACTGTACCATCTCTGTACATTTTTCCACACTGTTCCTCCAGCCTGGGACTTTCTCTCTTGCCTATTCCAACTTCACTCATCTATCGAGACCCAGAAGAAATCCAAATTTTCTCTGGCTCACAGTCATCTTTCTTTTTCCTGGCCTCTCACATACCACTCCCTTGGGCTTGGACTGCAGTCAGCTTTAACAGCTTTGTTCCATGCGTGTGGGACTGCACTGTGTCTTGTCTTTCCCTTACACACCCCAGGTGCCAAGCAGAGAATCGAGCAGGTTCCTAGCTGTACCCATATCACTGAGTTAAACTTCACCTTAACTGAATTTCCTAAGCTCCTTTAAGAAACAGACACACTAACATCGTTAGGTCATGGGGATGAAGTCTATGGGGCAGTTCTGGCAGCAGAATCCTAAAATGGCCCATCATACCACAACACATTCAAATACTGTCTCTAAGTAAGCTGCTCTGTTACAACATACTACAGTTATCGTTTCATGGGTAAATGGTTGTGGATTTCGAGAACCTCTGGTCGCTGCCTATTCTACCACTTTCACTTTCTTCTCTCTGGTACTTCTGTATCCTCTGCTCAACAGGGATGAGGGGCCCAGAACTGTTCTTTTAAACATTACTTTTAAAGGGAAAGAAATAAAACACCTATCTAAATGCTTGTAGAGTCCACCATGCTATACATCTGCCAGCCCCAAGTGCCAACTTAAGGGGACCCACACTAAAATAGATTTCTAGAGTTGGAGGAGAACTGAGTCATCCAGTCCAACTGCCCTCCCCCATTTAATTCATAAGTTCCTCATCCATCATCGAGTCACCCCTTGAGCACTCTGAGTGACAGAATTTCAGTCCTTCAAAGCAGCCCATTCCATTGCTGGATAGCTCTAACCCTAAGTAGTCTGTTTATATTTGATGACTCAAAACCCAATTCCCTATACCTAGGATGGCCCTAGTTCCATCCTCTGGAGTTCCAACAATGGTCTGCATCTTTCACTTGTTGGGCCTCCATATCTGAGACTATCCTGTTCTCCTCCCCGTCTTCGCTTCTCCTGGGCAGACCCTCCATTCTATCCACCCTCCTTGATATGACAGGGCTTCCAAACTCCTCGCTATGCCCTTGACCTGCTCTTGCTAAAAAAGATACTCTAAACACATTAAACTGGGTCCTGATAGCTGCATTAAAACTCTCTCGCCTTAATTTAGAGCTAAGACCAAAATATGAAGGGGAAATAAAATTTAATATCAGTGAGTGCCTCCCGTGTGCCATCAAATCCTGATAGCAATTTCATGAAGCAACGATTATAATTCCCATTGTACAAATGAAGAAACTGAAGCTCACTAATATTAAATCCCTTGCTCAAGGTCACAAAACTAGTTAGTAGCACATTTAGGATTCCTTCTCAGGTCTGGCTGACCACGAAACATAAGAAATCCCTTAGGAACAGAAATTTTAATGCAACAGGACAAACCCTCAGTCTCCTGTCTTCCTAATTCTCCTGGAGAGCAAAAGCAGGTTCCTGCTGTCTTGGCAACCACATGGGCTCCTTTCATAGGATGTTATATTCTTTTGGAGAAAGGAAGCAGCTCCCTCCCCTGATAAAACTAAGCTCATTATTGATTTTGCCCCAGGATGGTTTTCTCAGATGCATCTGGTTTTTAGAAGAAATACAGACAACTGTACTAGAAAGATGTTATGAAGAGAAGACATAATGCAACCATCTTCCCAGGGCAGCCTCTGAGGAAGAGTGACGTGCTGGCAGCTGTGTGTTTGTGGGCATGTTTTGGGGGCAAGGGAGGGGGTGGCACACGTCAAACGGAACTAGAAAGATAGGGCCTCTGGGAAGACAAATCTCTGTAAATAGGAAATTTTTTCTTTAAATGTCTGTAAGATGGTTATGGGTTACCAAGAAAAAAAAAATTAGTTCTCCTTCTATCTAACCTACAGCTTTTCTGCTGTAAATCCAATGTGTTGTTCTGTTGTTGTTATTTTGGGGAATACACCTGTGTTTCCAACAGCCCATTCAAGGACGGCTTTAAAATGAGACAAATGGATGGCCCAGAAGGATGAATGGAAAGATGAGATCCAGTGGGTGGTGATGGAGATGGTGATCTTTCTTAGGGGAGCAGTTCCATCCCAGGGAGACTGGGGCCAGGAGAGAGGGTAGGGGCATCTCACCTGGTCAAGAAGCATCACTGAAGATTTGATGATCTCCCTCCACTTTTGGAGCTCAGTATCGTGGTACTTTTGTTGGGACTCTAAGAGCTGGGCCCATTCTGTCTGAGATTGGGGTAACCTGTGGGGTAGAAGAAGGGGTACCCCAGCAGCTGGAGTTATACTCAATGGAGTGTCCTGTGCTCCCAGACCTCTAAAGGACAGAGTCACATCAGAGTGCTTTGTCCTTTGCTCACTGCCCCTGGTTCCCCTGTGCCCCAAATCAGACTCAAATTATAGGGACAGTTTTTAGAGCTTGCCTACGGACTCATGCCAAAGGTGATCCCCCAGCTAAGGGCAGCAGGGCAGTCCCAAGGAGACTAGACGCAGGAGGCAGGGCACGGTACTGAGTGGGATGGAGGTGGTGGCAAGGGGAAGAGGCCAGGGTGTTACCTTTCTTGGAGCCTCAGACCCTGCCAGGCAGTGAGGGTCTGGGTGGTGTATTCTAACATCCAGAGTTTGTAGAAGAGCATCATATTAAGGATGACCAGCAGCACCAGACTAGGAAGGAGACAAGGGGAAAAAAGCAACAGCAATGAGATATAATATGAGAATGCATGCTTCCTCTGAGAGCCAGGGCTATCCCCCACCCCAGAGGCTGCTGTTCTTGACCATTGGGTCACCTGAGGCTTTGCAGTGAGTGAGTAAGTGAACTGGAGGGATGCAGCAAGGGGGGGAAAGAGAGAGAGCAGCACTCTGATCTGGAGGGACCAGGACACCGCGGGAGAGCCACGGCAAGGTGTGTGGGTAAAGGCAATGGAAAGGAGAGACACACGCAAGTCACCCAGAATCTGGGTGCCTAGGGAAGAGAGCAAAGATGGAGAGGAAAAGAGATGAAGGGGTGAAGGAGGCAATCACAGAGCCAGTACCTGAAACAGATCCTAACGGGAGCAAGGAAGAAAAATGGGGAGGAGGCAGAGGTTAGAAACAGGCTAGTGTGGGGAAGCAGAAAACTGCCCCTCATCAAGCCAGAGAGAGTGCGAGTCCGTGAGAAAGAAATATTAGGAGCAAAGACACAGTGATGAGGAGAGCTAGCAAGGAAGGAGCAGGAGAAAGCTACTGTAGACAGACTCTTCGTATTTCAGGCTGATAAATGGAGATGAGAGTCTTCCTACCAACCCAGCATCAGAACATGACTGGAGGTGACACTGTGGGAAGAATTCCATGGGGTTCCCAGCCCCAACCGTGACAGGCCTCACAGCTGTGAGCAGGATGGCCCTGAAGCACAGTCTCCCCGCCCCCTGCCACAGTCCTGCAGGGTTCCCAAGGTTTCCAGAGTCTGGGAGACAGGAGGGGGTGAGGATAATCCAGGGGCTGGAGGAGAGTCACAAGGGAGACTGGGGAAATTCTCTTCTGCTCTTGGCCTCAGTGGCTGCCAGAAGATCAGTTTACGACAGAAGTTCATGGGATGGAGAGATGAAGATTCAGGTAAAGAGAGGCTCCAGAGACAAGCAGAACTGGGGACAAATCCTGGCTCACCAGTTAAATGTCTCTTAATTTTTGACCAAATTTCCGAGCTTCTCTGAAACTCAGTGTCCTCAACAGGACAATAACACCTACCCTGCTGGGGTTGTTACGTGGATCAAAGGAATGCACATACAGCCTTGCACACAGGAAGCCCCTCCACAACGGGCGGTGTTCATCATTAAAGGAGGAGGCGCAGACACACAAAGGAAAAAGGAAGATGACATAAATGGGAAGATAAAACAAACAGGTGGAAAAAAAGACCAGCAATGAGAAGAAATCTTATACTATGCCTTCGACCTTTCAAAGTGGGTGTATGTGTTTGTGTCTATGTGCACGATACTGTACTTCTCACTCGTGCCTCGAGCACTATGGAAGATAATATTCCTTAAGCTGGCAGCTGCAAGGGCCGGGGGCTACTGAGCTGTGCTCTTGGGGCTGAGTTCTCCACAAGAATATCTAAATGTTATGTTGAATTTCAACAGTGCTGTCTTTAATTGTATCAGCACACATCGGATCGTCTGAACGCCCACCTTTCCAGCATGGGCTCACACAATCTTAGCACCTGCATTTGGGTTATGTTTATAATCCTGTCTGTGCTCGGTGAAGGTCCAGGGACACCCCTGAAGGCTCGGTGGTCTAAACGGAGAAAAGAGGTGGGAGGGTGGGGTCACCACAGGGCAGATTTATGGGGCTCGGGCCTGCCAGACACAAGGCAGTCTGTGCTGCGGTAGTCCATCCCACACGCATGCTGTCAGCACACCCACCACCTGGACCCTCTGGTGTTGAATGAAGAGGCCTGATTATCCTAAAGTAACAAAGCCCTAAAGTTAGCTAATACTATGCTATACAATTTACTCAGGTGAGCAGTCAAATGAAGTCAATATGCAGAAAGAGCTTAAACACAGAACTAACCCGAGGATACTTTTCTATCTACCAAACCCAACACCAGAGATTTGACACAGCAACAGCATGAATCACATTACAGTGATGATGCTAAAATGTGAATTTTACTAGTTTTATAGCTGTCTGTGTATTTAATTTTGTACATATATCCTGGCTTCTTACGCCATAGTCAGAAGAATTCTACATCTACTTTTACGTTACATCTTCAAGTAAGGTTGACAAGAGCCCTCCTCAGGTTCCTCACAGGACCCTCTCTCTTATGTGGCCCCAGGTTTGCCCGCAGCCCCATTTTCTTCCTCACATGCTACACTCTCCTCCGATGATCTCATTCACCCATGGTTTTAATGCAACTGATAATTAAATCAGCAGCTGCAGCCTGAACTTCTCTCCTGAGCTCTACCCTGTCAGCTCCACCTGGATAACCTACAACAACTCAAACACTTCTGGAACCAACAGCATCTTCTCTGACAACTTCTCGTTAAGTTCCAGATTTCTGTTAATGACACAACCACCTACAGCACTTGAATCAGTAAGTCATCTTCCTTCGCTACATAACTGGATGTAACAAGTCTTTACCTTTTAGGATCTCTCAGCTCTGGTCCCCCATCTTACTCCGACAGCCTCTCGCCTAGATCACTGTGGTTTACTTTCACTGGCCTCCCTGCCTCCAGTACCTTCTGCTCTAGTTCATTCGCCATACTGCTGTCAGAGTGATTGTCTTTTTAAATGCAAATTCAAACATGACACTCCAGAGCTTTCTTAAGTGTTTTCTGAGGGCAGGGCTGTTCCTGCTTCCGGCTCTCTGAAAATGCTTTAGTGAAGGCCTGAGGCCAGAGGGGTGGGGAGAGGGTGTTGCAGAAGCAAGACTCAACGAGAGAGAAAGTCTAGCAAGTGGTGCACAGCTGGGGGAGCCAGCGCCTGGGTAGCTCCCATGTCCCCCACCCACCTCCTCGCCAACATTCTCACAGCACACCCTGATCCAGGAAAGGGTGGGATGTCAGAAGAGCAGAAGAGCTGCCTGCAGTTAGCTGTCCTAGCTGCAGCCTGCTCAAAATGGTTTAGCACAGTCCTGAGCAGGCTCTGGGCTTACCCTTCAGATAGCTGTGTTCTCCCATCTTCCATTTTCATTTCTTCCAACTTCCTTTCTCCCTAGCCCAGCATCTTTCTGCACAAGTTACTGAACCTACCGTTTTACAACATTATGGCACTTACTACAAATTGTTCACATTAAAATAAGCATATATTCTTCCCGGACTATAGTCATTGATTTTGTCTGGCTACCCTGCCAGAGTGGACCCCATAAGTGCATGGTCCTAATGCCTGGCATGGAGCAGACACCAGAATGTCTCTCACAAATGAATGAATGGGCTCATAAAATGCTCTGTAGCATCTCTATGTTAGCATTTATTCAATGATGTAGTAATTTTGAATTTCCTGTCTGTCTTATCCAATTGAAACTGAGCTCCCGAAGGGCATGGATGCTGTATACAGCATCTTCTTCAGAACCCTGAAGGCCTAGCATACAGGAAATGCTGAACAAAACAGATTTAAAAAAGGAAAGAGGCAAGGAATGACAGACAGAGCAAATGAGAGAAGACTAGAGGACAAAGAAAAAGAAAAACATAGCAACGTGAAGGGTGCTCCATTGGCCTGAAGGGACGAGGAAGGAAGCAGCAAAGAAAGGGAAGGTGGTGAGGGCAGGGTGGGGAGGAGAGCCTGGAATCCCTTACACACAGCTGATAACCAGCAGCAGCTTGGACACACTCTGCAGGTGGAAACCATTGGGAGTGTCCTCAGGGATATGCCGTGTCTGCGTGGAACCTGTTGGGAGAATAGAGTCCATGACCATTGTGGCCCACAAGTCCACCAACTGCTAATGTGACACTGGTCATGCACAGAAATTCAGGGAATGATGGGGAACTGTCTGTGATGCTGTCACAGCAACGCTATGATAGATATACCCTGTCCTCCAAAAGTAGAAGGTAAACTCCTCAAGGCCAGGGCCATGGATCAGGTCAGGGAAGGTGGACAGTCAAGTCACTGAACAAATGAGAAAATCAACAGACCTCTGTAGCTAGGACATACAGACATAGGACAAAGTGATCTGCACCCATAGAAGGTGAAGCAGCACTGGGCTAGGACTAGAGGGAGTCAGCATTCAGCTCTGGCTTTATCCAGGACTGGCTACATGATGTTGGCAAGTCCCATAACCTTCCTGAGAGTCAGTTTATTCAAATGCAGTGTTGGTCAGAAATCCTATATGTAAAACACATAACATGGGAATGCTCTGGTTGAAGCTAGGTGGAGAGACATGGAAGGGTGGTACTTTCCTTCTCTCCTTCTGCCTCCTCTCCTATCCCCATCCAGCTCTGATAAATGCCCAGGGATGTGCTCAGTACAGTTTGAAAAATACTGGGTTAGTTGGTCTCTAAGACCTCTTCTAGCCACAAGTTTCCATGACTGAGCAAAGACACCAGGTTGTGAATGGCTGTACGGGAAGAGAGAGGCATAGCAAAGGAGTCCACTGCCTGGGAGCGCAGGTCCTTGGTGGGCCGTGGGGGCCAAGGGACAGGGGGCTGCCTTGGACTCCCTGATCTTTGTGTTATAAGGTAATCTCTGCGGTCTGAGCTTCAGCTTCTCCCCACTGCATTTCCCAAGAACTTGGAAGCTGCATACTTGAGCCTATCCAGACAGCCATGGAGCTCAGGCAATGTGGAAGCAACAAACCCAGAGGCAACTTTTGTTCAGCAGAGCACACAGATGGGCTCAGCAGGGGCTGAGGAACTCAAAGGGCAAAGAGAAACAGGCAGAGCACTGGAGTCTCAGATTTAATAAATCACATGCAAATTATATACAATCTATACCGAAGGTGCAAAATGAGTGTACATGTGTGCGCCACCGCCCAGGCATGCGGCTCCAGCCCAAAGCCCTAAGCCACACCACCTGGCCCCACCTGGCACACCTGCCACGTGCTTGATCCTATGGCCCACATCTTCATCAGTGGGTGTGGTGACGGGACTCATCACCTCTTCCAGGTGAGGCACCCGCAGGTGGGCATGGGGACGCTTCCTCCTCCGCACCGTTGTGGGCTTGCTGGCCTTCTCTTTGGGAGACTGTCTGTGCATCTCAGCCAGGTAGGTGCTCTCTGTTTTGGTCAGCTCACTCTCTGTCAGAGACAAAAGGCCACATCGAAGGCCATCTGCTCATAGCTCCAACTCAACACACTGGCCTCTAGTAGCAACTCTGTCTACTCCTAGCTGAGCCCTCTCTAAGAGAACCATTTTCCATACTGTATGCTGAGAAGCTGGCTGAGAGGGTGGGGGTCCCTCAGGGATGCCCGTGACCCTCAGGAAGTACTGCTGGGACGCAGCCCAGCCCAAAGCCCTCTTCTGGGTTGTTCAACAGTGTACGGAGACATAGATTCCCAACACCTGCACCCTCGTGTACACAATTTGGGGCCCATCTCATTTCCTAAGAGATGCATTCACAGGCGATTTCCTTTCTCTAACAGAATAACCACCAGTGTGACTAGACCTGAGGTTCACTTTTTGGGCAGGGGGAGGAGGTGGTCGTAGATCTCTTGATAATCTCATAAAAGTTACAGGCACAGTCTCTTGAAAAATGCACATGTTCACATATGTGCCAAATTTTGTATCCATGTCTGGGCAGACTTGGGGACCCCAAGACACTCCTTCACTACCTTAGTCTCTCTCCTCGTTCTCCATGGTTCCCAATCCCCAGAATCGTGACAGCTGAACAGTTCACCAATTTCTGCAGTTCAACCGGCAGCAATGATTGTAGGGCTCACCTAAATGGCGGAAGTAGTCCTCCAGCCCACTCCAGAAGTTCTTCTCGATGAAAGTTTTCACTAACCCCCAGGGCTGTTTTCGGTACCGCAGCTCTGTGGAGACCCTGAGAAACAAGCCAGAAACAAGATCAGCCTTTCCTGGGCAGACCCTCCTCTGCCAGGAAAAGGAAAATTCAGGTTTAAGTTCAAAGCAGCTTCACATTTGTGCTGCATATTACAAGTTAAAAAGTCCTTTCACCTCCATGATGTCATCTGATCTCCCTGGTCACCCCTTTAGGTCTGTAGGGCCAGTGGATTTATCCTCATTTTACAGGTGAGAAGAATGAGTTTCAGAATATTTAAGCAGGCCCAAGGCTAACAACAAGGGCTTCTGACCCCAAGCCCAGAGTTCTTTCATAACACCACGCTGCCTCCTTCCAGGAGAATTCCAGACGGTGCCAAGCAGCCTGCAGCCAGCCATGGGGTCCTCCTCTCCTCCTAAGTCCAAGGCAGGCTATAAGGTTTCAGCACGTCTGCCTTTAAGAGCATCATCTGCTACCTCCTGCCTCTCCACTACATCCAGGACCTTGCCAGCTCTTGCTCTTTTCTAAGTATTCTCCCTCACGGTCATGAGTCTTTCTACTGCCCATATGTCTTGCAGTATCAGCTCCTTCCTCTCCTACACAGCAGCTCTGCTCTCTGCCTCTCCTTAGGTTCATTTTCATCTGTCAGTAGAGTCTCCCAGTGTATGCTCCCCATCTTTAAGGCTCCCTGCCCTGCCCTCATACCCCTCCCCAGGGACACCACCCCCACCCATGGCCTGATGTGAGCATGCCTATACCTGGAGCCACCTCACCCCGTGCCCAATGGCTGTTTACTGGATTGAGGGTGGGCACCTCTCTGAAAGGTCTATCTGAGGTCAACCAGCTACCTCTGCGTGTACTAGATAGAAAAGACCTCCAATCAGAAGACCCTCCAAGGAAGCTGGGATTGAGAATCCTAGACACTGTGGGGGAAGGACAGGGGAAACAGGACGGAGGGAAATAAAGGAAGGAGGGAGGAAGGGAAGGGAGGGGAAAGGAGGAGAAGAGGCTCACAGAACAGCACAGAAACCAAAAAGAAAGTTTTTTTAAAAAGAAGAGAAAGATGCAGGCCCTTTCTGAGGTGTGTATATCCAGATCTTCCTGACTCCTGAGAGATCTCTCTGTGGCCTTTCACTAAATTTCACTAAATCCCTATTTCACTTAACTGAGAGTAAATTTCTGTTTTGTACAACCAAAAGAATTTGGTCTAAGATCAGACATACAGTCTGATTATTTTCAAACGGGTATGTGTCTTGACTTTTCAATTACACTAGAAGCTTCTTAAAATGTCAGGGTCTAAATTTCTTCCTTCCTCGAATGCACATCACAGTGCCGAGAACAGGGCTCTACCCACAGTCAGCACTCTAATTATTCACTCAATCAACATCTTCTGGACTCTGCTCTGTGCTGGCCCTGTGCTGAGTGCTGGCAGTCAGCAGTGAATGGACGGGATTCCTGCTCACCGGCAGCTCACCGTCTAACAGGGAGACAGACAGTAAATTGTGATACATGTAGTGTGGTGGAAAGAGCACAGGTTTACGTTTCTAAGACCTAGGTTTCAGCACTTACCAGGGATCAGACTCTTGACAAAGTTACTTAATTTAAATGACCCTCAGTTTTCTTACCTGAAAAATGAGGATAAATCCACCTCCCCGGGTCATTCTACAGATTCCAGTTCATGTAGGTGAGCACCTACACAGTACTTTATAAACTACAATCAATGAACAGCAGTAGTTATAAAAGTTTTACTAAAGAGACGCACAGGGTGGTAAAGGGAACACACAGGGGAGAGAACAATGAACTCTGACCATGTGGGGGTGCGTGTCTCAGAGGCTTCAGAAAGAAGGTAGAAGAAAGGATGAGTCAGCAGGCCTAGATACCCAACCTCCTCCTTCCTCTTTAGGAGTTAATGAATGTTCTCTGATGTAAGGACCCCATGTGCCCCAGGAACTTGCTGTGAGCCCGCCCCCTCAGGCCCTCCGGACACCACACCTGAGTCGACTCTTGTTCCGTGCCACGCGGGTGAGCGTGTAGCGGTTGATGGTGTAGAAGTAGTCGTGGTACGGCACGTCGTGAGTGAGGACTTCGGCGTCTATCACGTAACATTCACTCTCCTGGCTCGCCTTGTACATGGTCTGAGGGGAGGAAAGGCCCATCCGACAAAACCGAGGAGAAGCAAGATGAGAAAAGCACCTCCTTCCCCAATCTCCCCCACCCCAGTCCCGACTGCTAAATGGAGGACCCGGAACCACTGGAAACGGCAGCATCTAAGCACATAGATGCTCCCCTCTCAGGGCTAACAACACTTGCACCCAGAAACTTCTTCCTCACATCTATCCTTAATCCTTCATGACAGAACAGAGGCATTTCTGGCTCATTCTTTTTCACCTCTGCCCTTGACTCACCTGGGTCTCCCTGACAGTGGCAGTTTTGGGAGCCAGAGGATTGGTAAGGGTGATGGTATAAAGAATCACTCGACTCTGGTTTCCATTCTCTTCCTTTTTCCACGGATGGAAGATGATATCTGAGGGTGGAGAAGAGCCCCGGGATGACAAATGGAAAGAGGGACGCCCTCCCCACATCCGAATTTCCCCTCCAAGTGAACTTCTCTTGACTGTACTGACTGCCGACTGGCCCCCACAAGGAAGCCAATGGGAGCCTGAGGGCTGGGGGAGGAGGAGAGAGAAGGGGGAGTCAGAGCAGAAAGAGGCTCATTGTAGCATTGCCGAAATTCTACTCAGGCTCCAGAATGCTGATTGTTCCTGGGGCTGGGGCAGGAGGTCCTGGGGCCACCTGCGGGGGTGCTGGCAACAGTGGAGTCACTGTAGTGAGGGCCTGGGATCCCTGGGAACAAGTCCTCTGCTCTAAGGCGTGACCTCCTGTACCCTCAGCATGCCCTCTCCTCCTGGCAGAGGGGTATGCTAATGCCCAAATGCTCTTTCACAGACTCGGATGCCCAGCAGCTCTGCTAGGCCAGAGCCGCAGTCCCTGCTGAGTGGCAGAACCAGGGCAGGGGGATGGACATGGCATGGAGGTGCAAGGCATGAACTCTGAGAGGCCTAGATCTGAACCCCAGCTCTGCCCTTCTTAGCTGCATGACCCGTAGGCCCGTAACAACAGTCTGAGTTCCAGTTCCTCATCGGTACCCTGGGGATCACAATACTGGCACAGAGGGCAGACTTCAGGATTAAATGAGATAACGTAACATGCTGGCATACAGAGGGTGCCTACTAGGAAGTGGTAGCTGCTATTCTGTGAGATCTTGCTCAATAGCAAGTCTTTGGGGCCCGGCACCGAGGGCCTGGTGCACAGTGTGTGAGCATAAAGCTGCAGCATTCGGGGAAGTAGCAGCACACAGGGCCATGTGGGCACTCTGGCACTGAGTAAGGCCAGAAAAAGGATGCCCCAGGCTATCAGGTGGCCTGGAAAAAAGCGGCGTTTGGGAAGAGCGGGAAGAAGGGTGGACAGAGAGGGAAGGGATGGGAGGTGTCAGCCCCAGGAAGAACGGACCAGAGAAGCGTCGCTGCTCCATGAAGTCCCGCTGGAAGGGCGAGTCAGTGAACAGGAGGTCGTAGAGCTTGTCCACGCTGAAGTTGAAGACTTCGTTCACATACTGCCGGCCACTCAGGTCCTCATAGAAGGCCTGGACCTCCCCTGCACAGAAGACAATGAGGAAGTAGACAGGGAAGGCAAGAGGCAGGTGACCCCAGGACTTACGTTTCTGTGGGAATGGCCACCAAGGGTCAAGGGAAGCCATGGAGTGGGGCAGCTGGGCCCCTTGCCTCCACAGTTTATGACTTCGCATCAGTCTCCTTCCCTCACTGGCATGCACACTCTTTACCCCCCAGTTACTCCATTCGTTCAACCTTCACAAGAGTTTGGGAATGTACTATTTGCTTTTACACTTTCACGCCTTCCTAATCAAGGTGATCTTAGACTAAAATTTAAATAAACGACTACTTCCTGAGCTTGCCTGAACCCAAAGGACCAGTTATCAAGAGTCTGTAAGTTAACCACAACTGACAACAATATCAGTGTAACCCATGACATAGGTCTGCTCGAGAGACACTAATTAATCTGGAACGATCTGTTTACATAAAAACTGCTAAGGCCTGGGTCGTCTGCAGGGCCGTGATCTGTAACTACACAAGGTCTGCTCTCCTTCCGCAGGGCAGCCTAGTACCCGCCTTTAATTTTCTGAATTTTGGATCTGCCCCAGGGGATGTCTCGCAGGGCACAGCTGAGTGGAGCCCATGCGCTCCTCTCAAGCCCTCGGCCCCACAGCCCAACTGCTGCACCTGCAGGGGCTGGTATCTGATCTCAAGCAGGAGGCTGGCATTCCTGGAACCTCCTGTGACCCTGAGAAGGCCAGGGAGGAACTCAGGAGCATCCTAGATGGGAGCGGGGAACCAACCAACAGTGAGAAAACCACTACAGGTGACCCACGGAAGAGACTGTCCAGAGACGGATGAGTGAGCACTCTCTGCATAAACTCACTGGTCATAACCTACCACCAATTTAATGGAGGTAAACCAACAACCAGTTTCATGAATACTGAGATTTTAGCTTCTCACCCTGGAATGCAAGAAGCAGCACATTCCCGAGTAAGGTCCTAGAAGCTAACTCTATACAGGAGAGAAGGGAGAAGCTTTCTACTTAGAAATGTTACAGAGAAGGACAGTCTCAAAAGTCTGTTTGCCCCAGCAACACCTTTCCTTCTAGCCTGGTCTAACATCCCACACTGGAGTCACTAAAGCAAGTTTCTATTAAAATCTAATCATATCCAGGGAACAGCTGACTGGCACTTTCCTGGTGGCATATAAACATTGCCCTGCCTTGCACTCTAGGAGGGACGGAGCTACAAGGTAAGCTAGTGTCAACAGGGGTGCATTTAGTGACAAGACTGGATGGCAGGAGAGAGCATTATTTGTTAAGGAAAGAAATGCAAATATGGAATGATGAGAATAGTGCAGCGAGTACCAGAAAAAAGAGATTTATGTTAATAAAAAACGCACCTTTTTTTAAAAACAGCTCTGTTACCCAGCCACCCTTCCACCAGGAACCCAGAGACTGACTCCAGTCTCCATATAGGGACATCCTTTTACCCTTCAAGATGGAGAGAGGAAAGGCCGCTCTGCACCGATTTTCAAATGCTCACCTTCATCGTGGGTGTCGGAAGAGTCACTGAGCTCGGTGGGGATGTCCTCATTGTCATTGAAGTCCAGTGAAGGGGAGTTCACAGGCGCGATGATCTCGATTTTCTCCCCGATGATGCTGTCGATGGCGAGCTCCTTCTCCAGGGACCCGTCGCCCTCCAGCACCTCCTCTTCCAGGGGCAGGCCATCAAACTGGGGTGGAGACAGGGCAGTCACCCAAGAGGGGCAATCTGCTCTGGATCTACTCTCCAAAGGGAAGTTGGGGACCTGGCCTTGGGAGCCCTCACATTCGCAACAAGAGCTGGGCTGGAGTCACGCTCTGGGGGTTCTCCCCAGCTCTGCCGTGGAAGACATGGTTCTGCCCTTCTCTTGCTCACCATTAAACAGCACACCAGGCCCCACAAGTCAGCAGCGTTAGCACCTTCAGTCAGCTTTCCCAGAGCCACACCTCCACCACGCTCTAACAGTGTGGGCCTGCCTCTCACTAGTACCTTGTTCTCTAAGAAGCTCAAAAGCATTTTTTGATTCATTCTCCCATTAGCCCTGTAAGGGAATAGATAGAATTCTTTATATTTTAAAGATAACCTCAGAGACAGAAAACGGAGACAAGGCATCAAATGAATGATGTTTTCATTTTAAGGCCAGGTGGTCTGACCCCTAAGCCACTGGAATATCCAACAAGGCTCCTTTTTCTGGGAATCCTTTCTGACAAACTCCACCCATTCTTCTACCTGCCAGCTCACACCAGAACAGTCTCCTTCATCAAGCTTCTATCCCCTCTGTAACCAGTCCCAGAGGACAGAGGTCTTTCTTATACATTTTTATCTCTTTGACAAAGTCTAGCAGAGTAGGAATATAAACCAGAGTATATACTAGGAACTCACTATTATTGAATGAATGAATAAACAGATAACAGTTCTATAGTCCTATATTCATATATGACTTTGACTTTACATCAGGCAGTGAAAAAAAGATCTGGATAGTTCTCCACCAGCGGGGCTGATATGGAGCAGCCCATCAAGAGCAAAGCTCTCACGATGAATTTGAAGTGGTTTTTATCTACTCAGAAGCCAAACACAATCTTGTACCCAAAGCACTGAGAACCCAGCTCTGGACCCTCGGACTACACCATTAGAATGCAGAGAGCCCATCTGCTCCAGGATGCCTCCTTGAATAGACTGACCACAATGCAACCAATCTCCCTTCTACGCGCTCCCCAGACTGGGGTTCCATGGAGTTATGTAAGCTAGGAAACACTGGCCACTGGACTGGGTGTGGAAGCAAAGGGCCTACTGCCCATACCGAGACGGGAGCTTCGCTGCTCCCTGTGGATGTCAGCGTGCTGTTGGTGATGGATTTCTTGGGCAGCTGTGGACTGGCATCTGGCTTGGTCTCTATGCTGCTTTTGGATGAGCTGTCATTCACTTCATTCTCTTCTACAGGGATCTCCTCACAGTAGCTGAAAAAAGACATAAGGTGCTCATGTTAACTTCAGTAGCCAAGATTGCCAACTATTCTAAGAACCTTAGACCTGTCTATCCAGCCAAAATTATGGGCTTTCCTGCTTCTTTGCTTTGTATACGATCTTCCTCTAACCGCCTCCCAGCCCCACACTGCTCTCCTGAAACTGCCTTCCCACCTTACACTCCCCTCCCCCGTGTAAAATTTCTGGCTCCAAATTTACCTTTTCAGGTATCCTTCTTAGATTTATCCTTACCTAAATACAACCTTTATCAGTCCTAAACTATGTTTTTTTTCCATTCGCATCCCATCCCCACCCGACGTGATCACTTGAATCAAACATCTGGGCTCCGAGTATACATTTCATTTCCCACACAGTGACTAGGACAGGACTCTGGACACGAGTGTCCTTCGGTGGTACTGCCCAGATTCTGGATCAGAACTAGTGAACAGAAGTGCCATGTACATCTGAGGGGAAACCCTCCTTGAGATAAAGGTGGGTGTCCTTCTAGGGACAACAGAGATGCCACTGTAGCATCTCCCAAGGGAGAAATCATCGTCATCATCAACATCTGACTTATAGTTTACAAACTATCTCATCTGGATGCATAATGACTCTGAGTAAACCATCACATGCATTTTAGAGATAATCAAACAGACATTCACAGAGGTTAAGTGATACCATGATTAAGTGTCAGAAATTGTACCTGAGCCCAGGTGTCTGTACTACACAGTCGATGCCCTTTCCTTGCGTTCTACTCCTCTGTGCCTCCCACACTATCACCAAACCTCCACCTACCTTCCAATCTCAAGAATGCTTGTACCCCTCTGGGGTCATCATCTTTCCTAACCTATCAACAGCATGTGATACAGCACAACTCCCTTCTCCTTAAAATTTCCTTCCTTTAGCTTCTAGGATACAAAACTCTCCTATTGTTGCTTCTGCCTCACTGGATGTTCTTTCATGATTTCTTTTGCTGCTTCTTCCTCTTGTTGAGTGTTCCCAAGCCAGTCCTTGAACTTCTTCTCATGTTCATTCAGTCACTTGGTGGTTTCAGCCAATCTCATGGCTATCCAATAACTCCCAAGTTTATGTCCCTAGGCCCAATTTCCTCAGTGAACTCCATACTCATATACACAAATGCCTATGTGGCATTTCCTCTTGGCTAAAGTCATCTCAAATGCAACTTGCCTAAAACCAAGCCCCTGATCTACCCCTGAAATCTGCTCTGCCTACAGTATTGTCCATCTCGGTTTAGAACAACTCTATGCTCCCAATTGATAAATCCAAGAAAACCTTAAAGCCGCCTTTGGTTCCTTTCCAATCCATCAACAAATCCTTCAAAATGTTTCTGGTTCTACCTCCAGAACATATACAGAAACCATCCACTTATTGCTACTTCTACTGCTACTCTCCCGGTCCAAACCACCATCATCTCATCTAAATGACCTAAATTATTCAACAGCCTCTTAGCCAATTGGCCCTTGTTCCCCTTCAGTCTATTTTCAACCCAGAAGCCAGAGTGATCCTGTTAAAATGTTAAGTCAGATCTTATCAATTATCTACTCAAAGCCTTCCCATGGCTTCTCATCCCACTCTAAGTAAAAGCCAATCATTGCGTTGCCCAAGGCCCTCAGAATCTGGCCCCAGACCTCCCCTCTTCCCAGGGGCCCTTTGTTCATTCCACCCTGCTGTGCCTTGCTGTTCCCTCTGCCCAGGAGGATTTTCCTGCAGGTACCCTCGTGGTTCACTTCCTTCAGGGCCTTACTTAGATGTCATTCCCCAGTGAGGCCTTCACTGCTATTCCAGATCCTCTTGGAAAGGCTCCCTGGGAAGCTTGCCCTCTGCCTTGCTCACCCCATTGTGTTGAAGTCGTCATCAGGGGGTACGTAGTCCTCATCGTCACTGGTCAGCCCCAACTCGTTCCCGTAGCACTGGTGAACGAAGTGCCAGAGCTCCTTGGGACACAGGGGCTGCAGGGGACAACAGAGAAACTCTGACTCTTCCTTCCTCAGGACACCACTTTACACAGAGGCACTGAGTTGAACTGGACTCCCTCCAGGGTAGGAAAAGCCAAACTCCACTTTCCCTAGCTGAATTAAGAGGAGAGCAACGCCTCCAAGACAACCTCATCTACTTTCCCTTTCCTCCTCTCAGGATCTCAGCAAGACACCAATCTTCTGCCTAAGAATATGGCTTTTAGCAAAGCCTGGAACGTGGCCTGTTCCCTCAACTTGGGTTTGTATAATGGGATCAACTGGCCCCTTGAGAAATGTAACTGTCTACCTTTTGCTCCTATGGATGAAGTCCAGCATTAAGTGGCATAAACCGACATTACTCTGGGGACAAAGTGATGACAGAGCTTCTGATTTGGACTCAGACTGAGCAGCAGAGGTCCTGTGAGCCAGTCTCCTTCATACTACAGAAATCTCTTTATACTATGAGCGGCTGCACAGGCTCTGGCGGATCACATCTAAGAAGAGGTGTGACCTGGAAGGTGGCTGGTTCCACAGTTGGACAGTTCCTAGGTTAGAAAGAAGCCAACTCTCACATTTTAAGAGAGCTCAAAGGTCCTTGTATCCAACCTTCTCTTGACTACCTGAATACTTCCTTCTTTATTCTTAAGTAGCATCAATTTGCCTACAGTTTTATGCGTTAGTTCTAGTTTGTCTTATTTCGTTAGGTGTCTACATGTCCTCCTCAAAAGCACTGTCCTAAGAAAAGTTAGCTCTCGTGAGGTTCATAGTTTCAGGAAAGAGGCCACAGAATGCCGAAAGCTACAACTGGAGGTGGAGTCCAGGATGAGTCTCGAGTTGGGAGGAGGGGGAGAAGGCGGTAGGAATAAGTACGTGAAAAAGGGCGAGAGCATTAAGAAAAACAGAAGCACTCAATATCTTAAAAAAGAAAAAACTTCCAACTTAAAGAATGTTTCCCACCAATAAATCTGATAAAGAATCTGATAATTCTCTGAGCCCATCCTTTCAAGGTCTGGTGTAAGAAGCAGACAGCTGGCAGGATGCCATGAGCCAGGGGTCCAGATTTCCAGTTCAGGAGAATTGCCCAGAACGGTGTAGTCAGGGCTCTCTCTGAGCCAGCAGGGTTTGGGGGTGGCAGCTCTCTGTGCTGGCCGTCACGGTGCCCTCTCCTTTATCTGGGCCTCCTCCCTCCCACATATACCATTCACCCTGTCTGGGACATGTCTGCCTCTGCCAAACCACGTCCCCCTCTTCTTCACAATCCACCTTCTCCATGCAGCCTTCCCCGATCCATTCCACTTGGCTCAGCCTGCTGTCTGACCACAGCCTGGACAAGCACAATTAGAGACGCTATTCATCAGGCAGAACTCTTAACAGTTACTTTGTGAAAGCTTTTGTGAACCATATAGATGACCCTCTATCTTATTTAGAAATGACAGTACTTGTGAACTGAAAACTCAAACCTGTCAGTGGAGAGTCAAACATGTTAACATTTTACCATTATCAATCGTTAAAGCCAGAAGATCTCAGCTCAAATAATTGGATTAAGTTCAAATTACTAGGATTTACACCAGGGCTATAGACGTTCAGGTTAGAAGAAACTCTAAATAATAAATCTACTCAATTTTCTTTAGATAGTAATACGTTTGGGCTAGAGTAATGTTGATATACACACATATTTAAATACACGTCACATATATAATGTAATTATATTATATAATTATATAATTTTTTTTCTTATGTCCTTTCTCTGGCGTGGAGGCTATTTCTCAACACCCCATGGCATCTCTGTGGGAGTTCTCTAAGGGCTGTAACCACAGTATCTCCTTCATCTGCATGTTCTCACAGTGTCCTTCAAACACTCGAGTAGTCAGTTGGTGGCTGTATTAACTCTATTTTCCTGTTTTCTGTATTTTTGATGCTCTGGCATCTGAGGCCTTGCTGACTGTGGAGGGACTGCCCCTCCCAGCGTTAGCTAATTCCTAGAAATAGAAAACAACTCGTTGGGGTGGAGAGTGGGGGTGCGCCTTTCACATGTAACCAGCCAATCCAAAGCCCAGAACCCCAAACAGCTTCTTTATCTATTTCTTACACTCTGAGCCAATATTCCTCTGCCCTAACTATCCCAGGGACAGGTACCAGGCAACTAGAGACAGTCTCTATACCCCGAAGCCTGATGAAACTATTCAAACCAGCCAATCCTACACCTGCTCAGCCTGCTTACCCTGCCTCGCCCATTCCTTCCAGTGAAAACCACAATGAAGATTCTTGCCCGTACTTTCCCCACCTCTTGACAGACCCTGGGGCTTCCCAGCGTGGCCCTGCATGGCATGACATGCCTTTGCTTTTGGGATCTATAAGTATAAAAACTTCTTCCTCTACAATAGTCATTCCACATCTTTGTGTCTCACCTAATTAACACAAATCCTGGTACATTTTAAAACAGTGTTACTGAAGCATCTGAAGTCAATGAGGGATGTGCTCCAGGCAGCAATGAGGCTGCTCACATAAGAGGATATGGTACTTTCAGGACTCAGGTCAACACCACCAGTGGGAGAATACATTACTCACCACAAGTCTGGGGACTTCCAGAACCATGAGGAAACACTGGAGCTGGCCAACGCCACAGTAAAAGCAACCTCTCCATGGGACCCACATCCAAAGAGAAAGAACATTCTAGGTGGATGTGCATCCTGAGGCTGTTGGAAGTAGCTGGGCAGTACTCACTTTTTCAAGGAGAGCATTCTGCCAGAGCCGGAACATCATCATGTATGTCCTATCCCGGGCTCCAAATGAAGTGAAAAAGTGCTGAAGTGGAAGAGAAAATGGCAACAAATGCCTGTTAGGACTTAAGATACAATGAATGGAGCCATGAGCTCCTTCCTTTAAAAAAGGCTACTGACTTCATCCTTAAATAACATCCTGACTCTCGGTTACCCACGAGTGCAGTGCAGGTACCGCAGTGATGGCCAAGGAACCTGGGACCTCTAAGTCCCCACTGAAACCACGTCCTTCATTTACCAACACTTTCCTCGGTGCTTCTCTGTCTGGTTTGAAGTTTCCATCTTCATAAAAAACTTCCCTCAGCTGCCTACTGGAACTGGGTAAGGGGTGAGCTGTGAACTAGCCCAAAGGGAAGGAGAAGACAAAACCATCAGCACGCTCACCCTTTCATTCATTAATTCAACAAATATCTGAATATTATTAGTATGTGCTAGGCACTTTCTACATGTTTGGGGTACAACAGCAAAGAAAATAGAAAGAGACTCCTGCTCTTACAGAGCTTACACATTAGTGGGGACTCTTTATAATACATGGGAAGAAAGCGATGAAAAACTAGACTTTACTGAACACACTGTAGGTGCTTCACAAATGCTGCTCATTGAAACCACATAGAAGCCTTGGAAAAATAAACATAACTGCTAAGACCTAATCAACAGAAGCAGGCTGGTGAGCTTAGGCGACTTCTGTAATCACAAACCTGATTTGTGCCAGGAACAGAATTCAAACCAAAGACTACCTCACTGTAAAGTCTCCTGGGTCTTGCCACTGAACGGCCCGAGTCCAAGGGCACGGTGGCCCTTGTGTTCAGCAGAAACCTAGTCCACCCCCAGCCCTGAAGCTATCAGTCTTCAGGCTCTGGTTAAAGGTCAAAGATCACAGTGTTTTCTCTGCCCCAAATTGTACGGATCACATTTTCCCCCATACCAATAGAGACAACTCATTTCCTATGAGACTCCTTATTCCTCTTGATGAGCTAAGCTGATACATAATAACAACTTACACTTGTGTAGGTCTTTACAATTTAGTGTTTTCAGAGTCTTAAAATGACTCTGTTAAATAGGTACTGCTGGCTTCATTTTACATGAGAAAGTTAAGGCTCAGAGATGTTACGTAACAGGCCAATCATGGTGGGACTCAAATTCAGGTGTTCTGGCTCCAAGTCCCATGTTCTGCCACTCCACCCTCACCTCTGCTCAGACTCCAAACAACCTGCTCACCATGGAGGTGGTTCCCACCATCTCATCGCCTCTCACCCTAATCCTACTGGCCTTCATACTGACACAACTGAGGAGCAGAAACACAGGGGTAGGGGGACTGGGATTTGAGGGAGGAAGGAGTAGAAAATCCAAGATTAGACTCCACTTACCTTTTCCGAGTCAGTGCAAACTTGGATGGCATTGGGAATGAGGCGAGCTGTTTTTTCTTTAGTCATGGAGCAGATGTCTTTCAAACGAACGGTCAGCTGGCATGGCCACAAGGACAGAGAACGGACAACGATCAAGAAGAGGAATTAACCAGAGTCAGGCAAAGAGTGTTCACACGGCACCAGCGCAGACAGAGGAAACCAGATCACAGTCTACAAATTTCCAAACCCGGCAGGGACCTCCTTAGAGATCGTCTGGTTTACCCCCTATTTCACAGAGGCCTCATGGCCAGGTGGTGACAGCCACGCCTAGAGCCCAGGGGTGTCTTGATTCTTGGTCCAGGGAGCATTCTTCCTCATTTCTACACAGTCTGATAAATGTGCAGAGGTTCCATCACTATTTACCACTTACAGAAACACAGAACACTGGCACTGGATGGGACCACAAGGCTCATCTAGTTTATCTTTTCCACTTTATTTTGTAAGATGAGAAAACAGAGGCAAAGAAAGAATAAAGGACTAGCCTAATTAGTTGCAGAACCCAGAAAGTACAGAAACCAGTTCTGAGTCCCAAGGCCAATACCCTTTTTACTCTACTATTATGCCTTCTGCAGTGACTTCCGCCAAACATTTACCTGCATTTGCCAAGAGGAAATGCTCTCAACACTCTCTCACACACCTAAGGGGAAGGGAGGGGAAGACAGGGTGGAGGAGATCTATGCTTCAAGACTCAGGCAAATGCTTTTGTTAATTATGCAAAGGTGTGGATAGAGAAGGAAGTCAATAAAAGGAAGAAAGTGAGGGCAGCTTGCTCAGCCATAGCCAAGGGGACAGCCCAAGGGAGCAAACCCCAGGTCTTTACCAGAGTTTCCCAGCGGAAGATGTTGCTGTAGAAGCAGATCCAATTTTCAGAGAGGTAGAGTCGGCCCTGAAGAAGAATGTCTCTTTGGAGTGCACATGAGTAATCTGTGGTAGGATGGGGGACAGAGGCGCTCAGAGACAGGAAGCATTTTCAGCAAACCACCGCAAATTAGACATGCCGCCCCTGCCACCAGTGCGGGGGGGAGCCCAACTGCCTACTACTGACTAGCTGTGTGAGACACTGGAACTAGTGGCCAAGGGAGTCCTCAGCATCTCATGATCAGGAACATGAAAGATGTGGAATAACTACTGCCGAGAGGCAGAGGGATAGATGAGATGGCAGAGAGGGGCAAGAAAGTTACAGGCGGAAAAGGCCAACAAAATTCAACCAACGCCCCTTCCCCATCCACAGTTACCCCAACCCCTTCACTGCTGGGCCATCTGCAGAGATAAGAGTGGCAGTGACTCATTCCACGTTGGGCCCTCTCTCGAGGCCACCACACACGTGGCACTCAGTCCTGAACCCAGACCACTAGGGTCAGTGCTCTGGACATCCTCTCCTCCTGTTCCCAAGAGACAGTCTCACTTGGCTTGGCTCTTAGGTGGGGAACCTCCAGACAGAAGCAGCCTAAGTGCTGTCCCTGGGACTCCCAGACTTCCTCTCTGCCTGCCCCAACCCCTCACCACCCCCCACACCCTCCAACCCCCGGCCCAGGTCACCTAGCTCACCAACAATGAGGCGCTCCGTGTCTGGAAGTTGCTTAAAGAGCTTTCTGAAGTCTTCATTTCTCTGCTTGTAAGTGGGGCTTAAGACCTGCATGACAACGGCCAAGGTTAGTGGCATGTTCCCAAGTGCTGTGGGGCTGGGGAGGAAGGTGCAGGTGGAGCACTCGCTTGCTTGTTTAAAAGGCAAAGATGAGGCTCTGTTATCCCATAGACCCCAGGAGGCCAGGTTAGGCAAAGGGGGCCCAGTATAGAAAAACATCATGGAGAGAATTTGCTACTGCAAAAGGCTTTATATCCAATGTCCATCAGTGAGAAAACATCAAACATACTAAGCAGGGTCCACATTACATGCCAAGGAGACACCCCAGGGAGCTTCCTGGTAGCCGTCATGTCAGCTATTGCTGTTCTGCCTTCTGCCAACAGGCAGCACCTTGACAGTGAAGCAGGGGCCCAAGGGGGCTCCCCCAGCTCCCCAGCAGGACCTGGACATGATGGTGCCCAGCACACCCCTTAGAAAAAGTTGTTATCACAACTAACACAGAGCACACTGGCTGTGTGCGAAATTCATGATGGAAAAAAAAAATCATAAGACTAGTACAATGTTATACGTCAATTATATCTCAATAAAACTGGGGGAAAATTATACTTTCACAGAGACTGGATTTTAAAAAAATTCATAGAACTAGTACTAGAATAAGCCCACAAGTAGAGAATTTAAAACTTTCTTTACAGGATTATCTAATCCAACCCTTCATGACTGATGAGGAAGATAAGGCCAGAGAGCAGTCCTCTCGAGCCCGGGTCCTGTGCTCATCTCCCACTACCACCTGTGCCGCCAGATGCCACTGCGCCCACCCAGCCTTTTGGGAGCCTCAGTGCAGACTCATGCCCATAAACTGCCTTAGCAAACCCTCCTTGGAAATTCCATGAGCCAGCAGAATAGACAGGAACCCTGCTCCTTCTGAGCTTACAATCTTAAAAAAAAAAAAAAAAAAAAAAGTGTGCCCTATAGAAAAAAGGCACCCAAGGATGATACATGAAGACAAGTGCACAGCTCGGCAAGAGCCGTCCACCACGACAGAGCGACATCTGCCCTCCACCCAGTGATTCGTTGACCTACTTATGCCAGGAGTGCACGCATACAGACAGGCTGTCCTGGTGATGGTGACAAATGGGTCTGGGTCATTTATACTTTCCCACCCACTTCCCTGGGAATGTACTGGCATACAGCTGTGGTGACGATGGGATGAATAAGCTTTGGACTGTTCATTTTTTGGCTTTCTGCAAAGCTAAATGGCCCACAGGAGGCTGAGTCTGTGGCCTGACCACATTCATAGCACACATTGACTACCTGAGCTAAGAGGCCCCATGGCTTTTGTGCTAGAGGGAACAGGAGTATTTCAGGAAGTCGTGGGGAGAGTAAATGGCATGTTTTAGTCTAGGGAGGTTTTCCAGAAGAGAGAGAGAGAAGAAAGCGCTTTTAACTACATTGTCTATAGTTCATCTGAATTTTTTTTTTTTAAGGAAGATTAGCCCTGAGCTAACATCTGCTGCCAATCCTCCTCTTTTTGCTGAGGAAGACTGGCCCTGAGCTAACACCCGTGCCCACCTTCCTCTACTTTATATGTGGGACGCCTACTACAGCATGGCTTGCCAAGCAGTGCCATGTCCGCACCTGGGATCCAAACCGGCAAACCCTGGACTGCCGAAGTGGAACATGCACACTTAACTGCTGCGCCACCAGGCCAGCCTCAGTTCATTTGACTTTTAAACTTTGGTTTTGGCTTATTCATAAAACGAGTTGTACTTGTAACAGGCCCTACTACCCTCCCCAAAGAAATCGTTATAGAATCCCAAACTTTAAGAATCACCTGCCATACATCTGAACCAAGTATCAGGACCACTGGGAGCGAACATCTGGAAGCCAGCCCATCCTGTGACTTCTATGGCTAAAAAAGCCCTCAGAATACAACATTCCTCTGGCCCATATGTTAGTTTCAAACTGATACTGAGATATCCAATCTAAACAGAGCCCTGGCCTTGCAGAACTGAGTCTGCACACTGAAAATTCTTGCTTAGCCACCTGATAGTAAGTTCCTAATTATGTCTAACTGACCTTCTAGAGCTACAATGAAGCTCCTGTGGAATGAGTGAACATCACGTACCAAGCACTGTCATAGCCCTTCACATACCTCATTTCATTTGACCACAGGGTTGTTTTCATTATCTCATCTTCCACACGAGGAAGCTAAGGCACAGAGAGGTTCAGCAGCTTGCCTAAGGTACATGGTTACCAAGTGGGAGTGTGGACTGTGAACCCAGGCAGTCTGCCCCAGAGCTCGGTCTGAGCCATTCAGTCTACGTTGCCTCGGGGTCCTTGCCCCGGCAGAGGGCATGCTCTTGGGAAGAAGATATTCACCTGCTTTGGGCCCCCCACTAGCATTCCATGCCCACAAATGGATCCTTTTGGGGGGGGATGGTAATTAAGTTTGAGTTTTGAAGATGAAAAAGTTCTAGAAATTGGTTGCACAACAATGTGAATGAACTCAACACTACTGAACCGTATACTCAGAAATACTTAAGACGGTAAATTGTATGTTACATGTATTTTACCATAATTAAATTTTTTTAAAAACTGTTTCAGTCAAGTGGGTCTTTATACCTTCAAAGTTCCAATATCAGCCTGAAGACCAGACTACTAGGTAGCCCCAAAGCCCCTTCCGATGAAACTGGACATCAAGCATCCAATTACCTGAAGCCTGCAAGTCCTACAATTTCTAATATTCTTTCTCTATTGCTCCCTCCCCCTTGCTTCCCTCATATCCAGTGGGAACTCAGAGATCTACAGAGGTGGAGGTACAGGGAGTCTGGCCATAATCTCCAAACTAGAGGCAAATGGAGGGAGCCGCTCCTCTGCTTTCCTTAGAACAAAGCTGTAGCTGTGGGGAGAGGGAGGGCAAATCCAGCCCTGACCTCTGAAGTCAGCTAGTTCTACAAGGACTGGCTTGAGTGTAGGGATGCCTTAACCCAGGCTTGCAAATAAATGTCCTGATTCTACCAGGCTGCCACTGTGGATGGCAGGCCAGCCTTTGCCTCCTAGAGTCTAAAATACAAAGATACACTAGATGGACCTGTCACCACATATCCTCTTTACACCAGAGACCATGACCCTCTCTTCCACTCCCATGCCCTTAAAACAATCTCCTTCAAAGGTGAGGCATGGCTCACCTATCTCAATTTTAAATGGCCAAAGAATTTTGGTTCAAGGATTGTCAAATCTGGGGTCCTTAGGTAGCAGGGCCAAGTGGGGGATGACAACGGTGCAGCAGAACTGTCACACAGGCACAGAGAAATTAGGTTGCACACTCACGGCTGGGATTTCCTCAGATCCATGCCAGCAACAGAGTTCCTCACTAGCAGGTACATCCGTCAGCTTCTTCAGGAACCACTGCAAAGGCTGGCTGTCCTGCTCCAGCAGGAGGCTCCAGAGGACCCCAGATTCTGTCAAAGATTCCATTGCTCCCACAGCTCCACCTCTCAAAGGAGCCCAGCTCCTTGAACTTTGACTCCCTACTGTCACCACAGGATGAAAACAGTCAGTCTCACCAGGGCTGAACACAGATGGGCAACCTCTGGCTTCTTGGCACAGGGTCTACGTGACCCTGATTGGCTTCCTTGTCTCTCCTAGAACTCTGTTGCCAGAGTGAAACTTCACAAGTGGGAGGACGTAGTCAGCGTGGTTCTCAGGACAGGCTGGCCAGCGAGTCTCCCATGGCCAGGTTCTGCTTTGTCCCACTCAGCTCCCACAGTGCGGCCAGTCTTCAGGCTGAGGGTGATCCGGAGGGGACGTGATGAAGCCCCTCCTCCTGGTCAGTGTGGACCGCCACTCCAAGAGGCTACCTGAGACCAGAGGACACAGCCGACACAACAGGTGCACAGGGCCAGCTGAGGGCTCTGAATGGCAGGCCCCTGGAGGACAGGTAGACTGTGCAGGAAGAGGATGACCCCACAGCCAGGTCCAGAGGTCCACCCCACCAGTTACTCACACACAGCAGAGTGGCTCATAGTTGGTCTGAAAGTCCAGGGAGAGAACAAATGCCCAGCTCCCCAGCTCTATCTGGCCTGTCCCATAAGGCAGCCCGTTCAATGTACAATCTCTACTCTGGGCGGGCGCTGGCTGCTATGACTCATGGCCCTCACCCAGGCAGAGCAGCCACCACTGGCTGAGGCAACGGGACCTGCTCTCACCCCCACCCCTACACACACCCCTTTCCTCCCAGACCGTGTTCCTCTTGGCTGACCAGCAAACAACTTCTTTGTTAGATTCGTCTGTGGCAGGAGGAAAGGGGGTGGGGAGGGAGGGAGGGAGGGAGGGAGGGAGGGAGGGCGGGCGGGTGGGTGGACAGGGCCGAAGCCCTACACATGCTTCAAGTTACAGGATCCGGGTGATGGCGCTGGCCAACGTCCTCCAGTAACCCCCAGCCTAGCCTGGCCTCCCCAGCAGATGTTTCCTGCAGTGGCAAGTAGCTGGCCAGGGCTCCAAGGTGGGGTGGGGGAGGAGGTAGTGCCAGAGGCATGGCTGTTACGACGAAATCTGAAATTTGACTCAAACAGCCAGAGCCTTCTTGGAGACACACTCTCCCCTCACTGACCCATCCGTCCACCGATCTCCCAACAGCAGCAGCATCAGGAAACTGCAAGTTTAATGCATCTCATTTCAGACATGCTGCTGGGGAGAAGTTGGGCAGATCGCCTGGAGAAGCTGAGGTCAACAGCTCCAGGGTCTGTCTGAGGCATCTCCTTCCTTTGCAGGGACCCTGCCCTGCCTCTAGCACTAGCAGGAGAGGACTCAAAGCCAAGAGGACTCCCAGGCAGCTGCTCAGACCTTGAGGGCCAGGGAATTTGGCCTCAGGTCAAAAGGGGACAACCAAATGCAGGGAAGCAGGACCTCCAGGAGAGGAATGGGAGCCAGGCCAATGGGGGCAAGAAGGCTCTGGATAGAGACGTGGCGGGCAGGGGTTAGACAGCACTGGGGCTGGGAAGACTTGGACTCTCAGGAAAGGGACACCTTTGAAACAAACAGGGCAC